CCCATTGTGCCTCTTAGATAATTCTTCAGATAACGAAGGCAAGATATTGACCTCTCACAGGAACAAGAAATATCGGGCTATAGCCGCAAACGCAGATCACTCGTATCCAACTTTACCAGAACAAACTTCCGTTCTTGAAAATGTAACAAACTTGACATGACACATTGTTGAACACAGTAACTGAAAATAACGACATTACAAACACACGAATGAGCACAAAATAACTTACAAAGTATAAGTGAAAGTACTGGAAAACGACAAGGCGAAATAAACAAGGACACTTACGAGACGAATGTGACCAAACCAAAAGACAACAAAAGGGAAACACAAAGCACTATATGTTTCGATATTTTCCGCAAACTCGGCTAAACAACTAACAAAATAAATTACGCGCGAACAGAATATATACGATATGCAAATAAATATAACAAGTACAAAACTGGTAACTGACAAAGGACACTAATGAAGACGAGAAACTAAACGCCTAACACGAAACTATGAAAAACCATTAAAAAAAATTATACATTCTTGCGCCTACACGGGCATTGCGGTAAATTGTATATTTACATGATACGCATCCTCCTTTGCAAACAATGCATGGAGAGTGGAAACCAACTCAAGAGTAATGCGGGTTTTATCTGACTGGTTTTCCTAGAAAGTTTAACTAACTCAAAAGAACTTAGATAATGCAAAGCCCTAGCGGAGTGTTAGTAGTAATATAACTATGAACAATGTGATAAACTAAGTTGTGATTCACTTCATGTTGATGTGAGAGATACAAATTTATACACCAATGATTTTATTATTGGTTATGCAAAATAGATTCTGGCTTCAATGATGATGAAACAAGCTATTTGGGGCCACATTGTTGACAAAACCTCCCTTTAGATCTAAGGGTTTGGGCAGACATTTCCTTTTTTTCTCTGGATTTGATTGGCTGAGGGTAGTGTTGAAGTTGATCGTGGTTACAGCTATCTGAGCATAGATTTCGACATATTCCGTTACACTCGGGCTTGTTGGTGGCTATTTGATTTTTAGAAAGACATCAAGGTACCGCCTCGGTGGGGAGTGTTACAAGATAATGATTTGGTTTCATTAACTGAGTTGATGGTGGGAATTGGCCACCGTTGAGAGATTTTAACACTAACTATTCGAGGTTTAGCCTTTCGTTAGAGCGTTAACGCTCGAAACTTTAGCTCTAGAATCTCTTCTACGTGACTAATTCACATTATCAACTTAGTTTATAAAACTAAATTACTCAGTTTTACAATTAAGGATGAATATTAGCGGACTAACGTTCCAAGTCATCTCGACTCCATTATCAAGTAAAAGGACGGCGGCTGTAGTTTTAAATTTGAATACCAAAAAAAGGTGACAGAGTTCCTTAGAGTACCATGCGTTTCTTGATCACTCGTGTTCAAAGTGTCAGTGCCTGCTGTATATGATTAAATGGTATCCGGTCAATTCGCCACCACAACAAACTCGCCACCACAAAAGTCACCACCAATGAAAGTCAAATCGCCACCGGTGGCGATTTTAATTCTTCCTTAAGTGTAGCCTGTCGTATGAAACTTGTATCAAATGAAAACTAAAATATAGTAGCATATTGCGAAAAGGGAAAGGGACTCAGAAGTTATTTGAAGCCTCTCAATTATGGAACGTGAACCGTTAAATGAAATAAAAACTTATTGATAACACGAAGATTATGTTCAGTTTGCGTAAAGCGAAACCAGAGAAATTTTCGCCGAGTGAGAGAATTGTCTTTAGATCTTATTTTACCCACGGCTAACTGACAACCCCATGCCAAACATTGTGATACGATGTATTTGCATTCAATGTGCTGTCTTATCTGAAAGTAATATATGAGGAGTAGAATCCAACTCAAGAGGAATGCCGGTGTCCCAGCGGATTTGGACCCCCGGTCCAAATCCGCTTACGGATATGGACCCCCCTACCAAACTTTCCTTTTAAGCATCTTTTGTATCATATTTGGTAACTAATTCTATTTGCAAGCTTTTTGTCGATGTTCTTTTCAATCACAACACAACATTCCTCGATAAAGGTAAAAAAACCCCAGCCATTTCGTTCCAATTCTACCGCATTTATTACAGCGAGTCGTACAGTATACGCAAGAATTAGATGTCAAAAAACTACTGCATTCGAATCATTGATCGTCCGATGGGATGCCAGTTCGTAGCATTAACGATACGTATGTTTTGAATTAAAAACATACTTTAGTACGCACTGGAACGTAAAGTATCTTCCATTTTTACTAGAACGTTAAGGATGATGTTTTCACTCAGTTTTGTTGGGGGTCAAATTTAGGGGGGTCCAAATCCGCTTGGACACCGGTTTTCGTCTAACTGGTTTTACTAAGAAGTTTAACTAGCTCGAAAAAAATAAGAAAACACAAAACCCGAGAAGAGAGCTAGTAGTAATATAACTATGAACAATATGATAAATAAAATATATTAAAGTTCACACGGCAACCAGGTGGACAATCAGACATAGTTTGAAGCTACACTGGTTTGCAGATTTAATGAATGTAACCGAAGAAGTTACAATTCATAGACCCAACGTTTCGACACTCCTGTCTAGTGCCTTCATCAGGGGTGATCTAAACGCTGCAACAAGAGGTCCTTTTATATGATCACTAATTAGCGGCCTTTTTTCTGACGAGGTGTAAATAGGCGTCAGGAAGCAGACCGCCATCGTCACGATTTAAAGGAGCGTGGGCGGAGTTAATGTGCCAAGCCTCCAAACAAAGGCGCTGGTGGTAACGCCGATTAGTGGTGATAATTTTAGAATTATCCCACCCAATTGTATGGTTGGTTAGGCAAGTATGCTCCGATAAAGCTGAATTTTCCTTTTTGCAAAGAAAAACCGCTTTTTGGTGCTCTTTTAACCGTGTACCAAACTGGCGTTTGGTCTGTCCGATGTATTCGTTGTCACAGTCATTGCAAGGAATAGAATAAATGGCGTCGGTTCGTTGTTCTTTTGTGACAGGATCCTTAGGTTTGGCGAAAATATGCCCCAAAGTCTGAAAAGGTTTTTGAGCAACTTTAACGTTGTGGCTATTCAAAATTCTCTTGATGGGTTCAGTAACACCCTGTAAGTAAGGAATAACAGCAAAACCAGTCGCTGGTTCCCTTTCATCAAGAGCGTTACTATTTGTAACTGGTTTTTGGCAGTTACGGAGAAAAGTTTTTGTATAGCCATTTGCCTTTAGGACATTGGAAACATATTTCCTCTCCTCAGCCTTCGAATCGAGTGATGATGGTAGACAGTCAGCCCTCCTAAGTAAAGTTTTGGCTACAGACTTCTTATGGCAAATAGGATGGTGAGAATCGAAAGCGAGGTATTTGTCGGTGTGGGTGGGTTTACGGTAGACACTTGTCTCTAAATTACCCTGAACCCCTCTGGACACATCTAAATCAAGAAAGGGCAAATGTCTATCCTTTTCACGTTCAAGGGTGAATTGGATCGACGGCTCTACTGAATTCAAATGCGACAAGAGGCGCCCCGCTTCATTTCCGGATACCGCAGAAATAACATCATCGACATATCGTTTCCAGAAAGCAGAGACAAAGCAGAGACAAAGCCGGCTCAATGTGTTTGTCTCTGCTCAATGACAAGAGTACGTATGCTGTCTTAAACTCTGATCCTACCAGTAAAACTCAAAGAAAGTTAAATAAAATGTTGCTTGATTTGAAAAAAGCTGGCAGAATTAGTGACTCTACGTACAAAATGTTATACAGTAGTGACGGCTTATGTCCACGTTTTTATGGCTTACCTAAAATTCATAAACCGGGAATTCCTTTGAGACCCATTGTCTCTTTTGTTAATTCTCCGACTTATGCAATTTCTGGTTATCTTGCGAGAATTTTGTCGCCTGTTGTTGGGAATACTGATTACACTGTCAAAAATTCCTGCGAATTTACGGATTTCATAAGAGATAAAACTCTTGACGCTTGTGAAGAATTAGTATCTTTCGACGTTGTTTCGCTCTTCACTAAAATCCCAGTTGATCTTGCCGTTAAGGTTGCGGAGGAAAGACTCAAAGAAGATGCTTCCCTAGGACAAAGAACTTCTTTGCCTGTGGAGGATATTATTCATCTGCTGTCTTTTTGCCTCAAAACCACGCAATTTACATATAACGGCACATACTATCAACAAGTTTTTGGTACAGCTATGGGTTCGCCTGTTTCTGCTGTCATTGCTATGATGGTAATGGAAGACGTGGAACAAAGGGCCTTAGCCACTTCACCGGTTAAACCCTTTTTTCTGGATGGAATTGGCTAGGGGAAGAAATGGAGCTCACTGTGGTTACGCCTCTCTCTCACAAAGCTCCACACACTCCGTTGCTCTCACCTTTGTTTGGCAACTTTTTGCCATTGACCTCGGCAAATTTGGAATGACATTGATGCAACTAGTTAAACATAAAATAAAATTCTTTAAAAAAAATTAATGTCTGGGAGACAACATTGGGCAGCTTATGGGCAGTCTTCCGCATGCCAATGTGCATAGATTTTGAGAAAAAAAAAAAAAAACTACATAACGCTTTCATGTGAGAACCAATCCTAATGTTGTTAGAGTTATGTAACCAAATGGCTTCAGGCCTCCTTTCCTGACTTTCTTTAGATCTCTGTATTTTCCTTTATACTGATCGGGACACTTGAAGAAGTGGACATCGGTATGCCAAAGGACTTAAAAAATGATAGAATAAAAAGCATCGATTCACCGCACGCATAAATGACGAAACAGCGAAGACATCGTGGAATGTTCTATACCCATCGATGATTTACACACATGACTAGACCTTACGGGCTCGTAGTCATAAGTATCGTATGTTCCTTTATCAGCATGTGTTGATTTCAAGTCTAAGAGCAATTAAGTTTGCGAGCCTTGTCTCACATCCTCTTAAGCGTATCATGGAATTTCGTTCATTAACATATTTACACAATGACGACAAGGTTCAACGATCATGATAAAAGAGTCTACTGAACCTAAAAGGCTCGGGAACCACAAGAAGGCAGAAGATCGCTGCATTTTGTAATAGAGCACGTAACATATGAATCGGCACCCCTCAAAAGTTCTGATCGACAAATTAAGGTAAGGTGATGTATCTTTATCAGGATATTGATGAAAATTAGAGCAAACTTGAAGATTCGCTCGAGGGCGTAAACTAGGGTGCAAAACGCCGGCAGTTTCGCTTGATGTTCGGCATATTTAGACTTGGATCAATAATGTTCTTGCACCTGACCAAAAATATAAGCCCAGCAAAGGGGAGGTTTTGATGTTTTAACTTTCTCTCTGCCGCCAAGGTTTGAAAGAGATGTTGATATAATACTAGTGTTCACATACTTAGATACCTCATGGCGCGATGATCGAACATGAGGATGAAGTTCATTTTGGATTAGGAGGTGTAAGACACAGTGATATTTTTTTATAAACTAGTCGACCCAGTTATAAACCCGAAACGCTCAGTCTCACGAATTATCAGTTTACCAAGCTAACTAGCCTTTATGTTTCTAAGAAATTTAAAGTTCCCCAGTCGAGTAGAGCGGGATAACTCTTAAGATGAATCAATAAGCTACTCACGGTTCATGCGGCGCAAGCTAAATTCATAAACAGTTTTCTTGGAAGGACTCAACCGGGTGAGTGTCAGCTGTAAACCATGCCAAAATTTAAACTTTCAACCGTGAAAAGAGTACCTCAGTATTAAAAGTAAAACAACTTCAAGATGTTTCAGACTTAACAGGTTGAATTGGTCGTCATTAACAGTCCTGGATTCTGAAGAATCTCTAGATTTAGAAACCAGTCTCCATGTTTCCAAACAGTCATTTTTTTTCTTAAAATTGTAATTTCCATCAAACTTCGCCTTTATAGTCTTAACGCAAGAAGTGACTCGCCTTAATAAATAACTTGGTCCGAATTGACAATTCATTATTAGGCATTTTAATGCACATACGTCAATCATAAATCCAGACGCTGAATGACAAAACCTGTTATGATATTATGCCAGACGAACCGTTAAGAGAGCAGTGCTATTACCTTTCCCATCCTATGCTCAGTGCTGGAGGAATCAGGGTTTCCTAGTTTTGCCATCCATGTTTTCACCCATGTAATGAGAGAAGCCGATGAATTGTTTGAAATTAACTCTAAATTGTTGTTAGAGTTCTTAGAGGTAAGTTCCATTTATCATTTTCATCATTATCATAGTGATAATTAATGTTTAAAATATGACAATAGGTATTAATCTTAATTCAAGAAAGAAAGTTCTTTCTTATAACCACCAAAAGACCTCAAATTCGATCGTCAAACATTATTTTCGGAAAAAGCTAGCCATGAATCGACAAAGCCTCCCTATTTAGACCCTCTTGTTGTTGTGCCTCGCTGAACATGTTGGCCGCCAAACAAAAAGGAATCAAACTATATTTTATATGTTATCTCTGTTCTTTAGGTTATTGTACTTGGAGTTTAATAATGATAATCTAAATTTCAGTGGAATGAGGTACAGTTGTGTATCTCACTTAAAGTAAAGCAGAGAATTGAGCTTAGGTTGCTAGTTCGTGCGTCCAAGTTATTCTAATGTGGTTAACTTTAAGAGACGCTCAATCTAAAGGTATTACTGGGTCTCGCGTCAGTCAGTCATTCTCGTAAGCGTCAAACACCGTCGCTGGCAACGCGGGCTCGAAATTTTGACGATTTTCAGTTCATCTTGTTCTTATCTCGACGTTATTTTTTTAAAATATGCAAATTGAGAAGCGACTCAAACACCTTGATTTTACAGTCGAGTTTTGTAGCCAAAGTCGAGTTTTGTAGCCAAAGTCATGTGACAACCAAGTTAGAGAAAAAAAAGTAGCGTTTAAGCCAGAAAAAATTTTGAGGTGATCATGAAGAAGATTTGTGGTGGTTCACAAAAGAACTAGAAAAATACCGGCAACGCAACAGGAGACATTTCGGTGTCTTATTTCAGATAGTTAATTCGGTCGCCGCTTCGTGATTGGCTAAAAATTCATAATATCGTTAAGTTGAAAGTCGACAGCAATTGAAGCGGAAACCAAAATTTACGGGTTTTATTTTAAAGCGTCTTCCAGTAGTAAGATAGTTTAAAGTCCATTTTTGAAATGATTGATCTATAGTGTTTATTCGAATGTGGAATCTTGGAAATTTTTTGAGACTGAAAATTACCCTGATTTGATGTGATCACGTTCATGGAATTCCTTGTCTATTCAATATGTTCCTAATTTAGATTTTTCTGATGACTACTACATGCTTTTGTTGTCACGTGGACAAAACCTGTCGGTCTCTGTTTTTTGTCTGAGTAATTTCGCTTCTTTTTCGAAAATCTAGTTTATATCTATGAAATGTAATGCATTTTTTTTGTTCTTTGTCGCCGTTCTTTCCACTCTGAGTTAGGTTTTGATGATCTACGTAGGTCAAAGATCAAATTGAAGGAAAGTTCTACAGCAAGTTCAAAGATCTAATTATGCTACCGAAAAACCACCTGGGGGTAAAGGATCTCTCCAGCACTAATCATCTGTGTTATCAGGGGCAAGTTTTCAACCGAGTGTGTTGAGGGTAATCCGGAATTTCTTTTGTTTCGCGTTACTTCGTTCTGTAATAGGTGTAGATAATCCACGCCAACTTCTCGACGGGTCAGACGTAAAAACTTAAACCGACTGTGTCAGAGGCACCGCAAAATTATCAAAAATCAAGGTAGCTCTGAAATGTAAGTAAAGAATCTGGTGAGACTTTGCTGAGAGATGAATCTTGATGTGCTGATTGCAATTCAATGAAACTACATTTATAAAAAAATGGGTACTACTGGACTTGTTCATGAGTTATAGGCACGCACGTACAGCTAAAACTAAGGGTGTCTTATAAAGTTGAAGAATCGCTATGGTAACCTGGTATATTGGGTATAAAAGAAAATAATAATGAAATTCTCATAAATAATTGTCCATTTTTTCAAAACCATATTCAACGAAGCAAACGATCCACCAAACAATTCGTCTTTGAAAAATAAATAACCAAAAAGAGCCGCCTCAAGAAATGTGATCAAAGGAACTTTACAGCACCTCCTGCATATAATGAGCTTTCTCAATTAAATACAAAAAATCATTTTTGGGCTCGAAAACCTCGCGAAAGTCTCAAATAAAAAATTGTTAATGGAATGTTAAAGGCATATTATGAATTAACCAAACGTCTACATTGGTTCGCGCCAGAAGGAGATATGATTGTGGACGTTCACCTACTGTCGAATGAGATGGATTTTAGCAGTGGCTGATTGAAGTGTTGAGAACGGATGGAAATCACTTCATTTTCGCTTCTCCCTTTTGATCAGTCTTCTACATGTTTACATAAGCACACCCTTATATGGATGCGTTAGCTAAGGCAATACCTTCTTGTGGGCAGCCGTAAGTAAGCAGCCGTAAGCTTTAAATATTTGAATACCTCTCAAGCAATGTTTGCCAGCTGGGTAAACGGAACGCAAACAATCAAAGACATTTGCACCCTTTCACACATACATTATGTTCGAAATAAGAAAGATTCGTTATCCATATGGCTTCATGTTTAAAACTTTTGGTTCGGCTCTGGGTTGTCAACCCTTTATTTCTGCACCATAATTATCACAAATGGTCGCGCGTTGTCATCTCTCATATTATGAAGTTATTAGCATTGTTGAAAAAACATGTTTGTAGTCAAGGAAGGTAAGACAAAAGGTCGGTAAACACGCTTTAAATTAGAGTGCAAGTTTTGCACGCCAACTTTCACTTTCGCTCCCGTCTAATGACGCTTTCGTCCGCACCTTTTTTCTATCGTTAACATTTGTTTGCCCACTTTCCTACGCTTGAATTTGTTAAGATGGAGGCAAACGTTCTCGATGTGATCTAGCCATGGTAACCATGACCACAGGTACTTTTATGAAACATGGTACCTCAGAGAAAGTTTGAGGCCATGTACTTGGCCACCAACTGATTGTTGTGACATGAAATAACAAAAGTGGATGTAAATGTATAACCATGCATAAAAAAAGTCACCAAAATAAACATCTTGAATTAATAACCAAAGTTAAAGACGTTTCGTTGGCGTCATGACAACAATGTCATGTTTCAAGTGAATGAGTCTTCGCAATGTTAGAAATTCAGATCAAAACTGAATTAGCTCATAAATTAAACGGCAAAACTGTGTAACGAGACTGTTTGCCGTTTTTTCTTGGAACTCATCTGGCGAGGTTTGGCTCTTTTTGAGTGTTTCATTTTGGTATGTATTTTCATGCTAGGATATTTCTGTAGGCGGTAATTTCAGTTCGATACGTTTTTTGCTGCTGGGTATGTAATTTGTCAGCTCAAAAACGTAAAACTAAGCTGTTGATTTTGAACAAAAAGAGCGGCAAGAGATGGACACCTACCTTCCTTTTATAATCCTTAACAATGCACTCAGATTTTTATAGCTGAGACTTTAGGTCTGTTTCCAATAAACGTAAGTATGTATAACATTGAGGTTTGTGGAGACGGGGAAAATCATCGAATGCTTGATTCATTAGATCATCAAAAAGCTCATAATTGGCGAATTATTTTAGCTCGTCTTTGTTACGTCCAGTCTACTAGTTTCTTTCTTTGACGCTCCCATTTGCTTGCAAATGTCCACCAACCTCCCAGAACCCCACGAGGCAAGAGGAATGTTTTTGGCGCTTTCGTGGCCAACCTGAAAGGATATCACCTTTTTATGTTTAAAAATTTCAAAAGTGTCGTTTGTTACTGGATACAGGTACCTCAAGTTCGTCTGTGTCTAAATGTATGAAATTTCGCGTTCTGTCTAATATGTGCATAGAATAACGCATGACGCGTACCAAAGTTAGCAGAGTATGCTCATTTATCTGAACCGAATAAATTGCTTGGGCAGTTGATCTTTTTGTCCTGCATGAAATAGAAGATAAATACACACAATTTGGTGGATGCCGTAGATACAGCACATCGAATGGTGATCCTGGTTGAAACTGACGAGTGTAATGAAAAAAAATAAGCGAGGACGGGTCTTTTTTATGCAGCACAAACCCACTAGGAATAGTCGACTTCATCTCGTAACGACGCTGATATTTACTTTGCCTCTCTAACATTTTGTTTGTGAGAAATTCATTGGTCGAATGTAGTTTATCATGTTACCGATCAAATCACCGGCTGGTACAATTAAAAACTTGATGCCCTCCGGGAAGCAGTGTCTATAACCAGAGCTGGTTGCTCAGGAGAATGTGTAAAGACATATATTGATTTTTATCAATATGTTTTTGTAAGTGCAGGACAGAATTTCTCTCATCTTGCATTCTGACTGGTTTCCTTGGCTGAGAGCAGATCTTATTGATTTTGTCTTAGAACCCGCGAACCTGCAAAAGTTTGTTGTTGGGAGATAAATGCTTTTGAAATGCTGATGCTCATATGATTTTTTGTAGTAGATACTATCATGTCATCCCTTAATCAACTGTATTAGTTTTACCGAAATTATTAAAAAATTAGATAAGGAAGAAAACAGCACTCCACTCATGAGCTTAGGAAAACATATCTAAAACTGCCTACTGTATCATAGAAAACAGAGACAGTCAGTTAGAGACATGTATCCGAACTACAGAAAGGATCATTTCCTCTGGGTGGAGGACAAAAACCGCATCTTTGCATTTAAAGTTATCTTTATCATTAATTTTCATCACCCTGTGCTTCCCCTGCAATTGTATTATATTTTTGCATAATTACGCAGATATAAAAAAAATTACTAATTTAACCCTTTCCCGATTAGATTTGCTTTATTCTCTCGAAGAGACGTCGACTGTATCAGAAATTTCGTCTGATAAGTAATTTTATCTTTCCTTGCTATCCGCCATTGGAATTGACTGATTGCACTGCCCAAAGCATGTGAGCGGATATTTTACGTAAAAATAGAATAGGACTGTCATAGCTCTGTCTGTCTTCAATGGATCTTAGAACTCGAAACTTCCTCTGGCGGCCTTTCTAGTAATCGATCTACTCGGGAAAGGGTTGACTCTAAGACTTAGTATGGGAGATAGAGGCTCCCATGTCAATACGTGTTATATACTAGACATTTTCAGCATGATTTATGGTAATCGGGGGTTCTTATATCCGAGTTTTATTGTATCAACTTCATGTGCTTGTAAAGAATAAGAGTGTTATGGAGTATCTATGGTGGTAAGTCAAATTTATGATAGTTTTGTCTCGTTCCTTACTCAGCTTGATAAAGCACGATATTTTACGAAAGGCACGACAGGGTGGACTCATATAGAGGATTTCATTACATGTAGAATTGATGCTGAGTTAAAAAATACCCACTTATTGCACGAGAAAGAGGAGAAGAAGTATTTTCATCCCCATCCGCTGCTTGGTTTGACCTTCATGAATTGGATAAAAAGAATCAACCGATTGACAAACAGGTATGCACTCCTCTGAGCCAAACTCATTGAATCTCTCGGGTAAGCCCTTCCTTAGAGGCATAGGAATTCTTAGAAAATTGTCGATAATGTTTTTCAAGGAGGCTCTCAGTGGAGAAAGGGTAAGAAAGTTTGAAATATTTGTAACGACGGTTACAGCAAGAGGTGCATAGATAATAAGGCGCAGTAATGAGGCGCAATTTTGGCGATTTTATCACTGATGATTAGTAGCAAATTAATTATACCAATGTTTGATTTACAAAGTGCTTCTAATATAAAAGGTATATTTTACAAGGGTGATTGATGAAAATGAGAGAAAATGAGAGAAAATGAGCGAAAATTAAACAGCACAAGAGTTTCTTTGGTAACATCGAACCTTAACGGGAATTAACCATAACTATATGGTCCTGTATTTTTTGTCACTGAAAGTGTGTTTCTAGACGAGATCTGGCTGAGATGTTTGACCGTTTATCATGACGTTTGATCGTGATTTTTTTTCGACCGTTGATACTAAACTTATCATTCAATACTTTTATAGAAAAAACAAAGAAAAAAGAACCATCGCGGCCTGCTAAGAACAACGCATTTGAAACAGGCTAGAGATTTATTTGAAATGTTTTTGAATGTGAATTACAGATGTTGAGTCTATGATGGAGGTAGTTACATTTTTTTTTTATTGCTGGGATATCAAGACTATTTTACCAAAAAAAAAAAAAAAAACCAGTAACAACATCAAAAAGATCAGTCAGCTATATTTGACCGGTGGGAGGGAAACAAATTTATTAACGACTGAGAAATAAGTACATCTTATAGTTAACGACAAATTTTGGAATTTTCCTCGAGGTAAAATTTTGTGTATTGATGTTCACAGAAAAAAAATATTGATTTATATGTTACTAAATTGGCTACAAAAAATTTTTGGCAAAGAGAACTGAAAACCATTACAAACAAGAAGAACATTAATTGGTTTCTGTATTTATTTCTAACGGGAAACTTTGTTGAGCTCGGCCAGATAAAACAAATGGCTTACGCTTTCAGGAGAGGTGCGAAAATGTTACATAACATTCGTAAAGAACTGAGCTGTAAGAACCTAAATGATCATGTAGAGAACATATTGCTTTGGTACTCTGTTATATTTTAAAGCTACAATACTGAAACTTATAAGTGAGTAAGTGTGGTTTCCAGATATGTTTTATTATTCTCTGTACTTTCGACATCTCTGGCCTTTTTCGGATGAGTAACATTATTTTTCAAAAGTCTTTGCAAGTTTCTATTTATGTAACCATGGCATACTCCCTTGTAATGAAATATGAAATATCAGAAACCATGTGCTGAGTAAACTGACTGCCTTTTGTCATACAAAATGAAGCAAGAAAGTTTTTTTTCAATTATTTTTTTGTTGGTACGTGATAGCAGACAAACAGCCAGCACACAACCTTTTTGAAGTTGTTTTGTTTATGTTAAAAAGGAGAAAATAGGAACTTGTTGCTACGAGTCTTTACTGAAGTAAAACATTCTTGATGAATAAACGCTTTCATTATAGATATCAACTACCCTTGCGTGTTGGATACATGTTAAGAAAGGCCCGTTGAATCCAATAAGAAAGCATGCCATGTTCAGTGGAATTTATGCACTGAAGACAGTACTATCATAAGTTTTAATCTTCAAAGGAAAATAGGTGAGATATATTTCCATTGAAGAACAACTGCAGGGGAAGGCCCTTCCTCTACTACATCGCCACTGTTTGCTCTCTCTCCTGTAACCATGACCAGGAGCTTTGATATGAGATATGTGATCCTAAGAATTATTATCTTACCTAATATATTTCGTGCCGCCGTAATTTCGGTAATGTTTTGAGAGGAAATAAAGAGAAAAATCAATTCTAACAAAAGATGGGAAATATATTGGTCCTGTCTGGTGACTGTGATCTGTTTTGACAACTGAACAATACAAATTTAATGAAAACTTATCATTCCATACTTCATCTCCGCACATCAGCAAGGGGGTGATATCACGCACACTTTACACATTAAGGTATTGGAAATATTTGGGAGAAAAAGCGAAGGTTTTCCGTCTTATGACCCTCGAAGCCGTCAGTATATTTTGAAGCTGCTGATGTCGATTGAAACTAAAAAATTGGAAGGAACTTTGATTTCCATTTCCTATCGAGCTTTCCCGACTTTCCTTTCGTTAAACCAGGTAACAAAAAAACATATACTTTTTATTGCATTTTCTGAAATACAAATATTTATGATTTTCCTTAATCATAGAAATTATGGTCATGAAAAGTTCCCTGGTTCTACATATATGTAATGTATATCTAAAAATTACTGAAGAGCCTCGAGACTTTGTTGGCTATAAGGGGTAATAATCATTCCATGGAAAATATCATAGTAGGGAAGTTAACGCAAAAAGATTAAATTTTGCAGACTAACATTATAACCACGATTTTCTAAAAGTTTCGGGCGTCCTCAAGACAAGTTCACTCTCTCTAATTCCTGCCTGCTTTGGCATAAGGAGATCACTAAATCAGTAACTCATTGAAATGTTGTTATCAGTATTGAGCCCAAGATCTTTAAACCGCTGCTCAGATAATGCGCGTACACCCTGTGTGTTAGCATTTATTTGAACCCAGGATCTCTCGTTAAGTAACTCCTTTGTCCCGTTTCCTGACGTAACCTCTGTGAAGACCAAGTGACACATAATCCATAATCATTCATTGGCTTATTAACAGGGAATATGGGATCACACTTTTCGCGTTATTAGATACATACACACCTTAGCTTAATGGAGTGGAATTGGTCGTCGAAAGAAGTTTTACCACATTCTACAAAAGGAAAATCAAATTCCTGTACTAAGAATTAAAAACAACATGCAAGTAAGTTGGAAAGGTTTAGTTTAGCGCGGAGAGTATTTATACCGCCCAGTTAAGCTTTCTGTTGCTAACAAACTCGTGTTACTAATTTTAGTTATGTTTAAAACGACTGGAATACGAACACAGTAATTTAAAATGAGTAAGATTTACGACAAAAAAATATCATGATTTTATGTTGTTAAATTTTCAATAGCTTTTCGAATACTAGTTTATATTTTGGTTTTATACCATATGGTGTGAGGTAAATCTTTCGAATTTCATTGAATATCTTTCTCTTGAAGAATTTTAAAACCACGCGCTCTATTTTTCAACTTCAGTCAAATAGTAAAGGATAATTCATTTCTATTTCGAGAAATCAGCAATAATATTGAGGAAAAAAATCCAAGACAGTAATGGTTGACATTACTTATAAAACGCATGTTTTGAAAACTTCGTTAAAGTTAAGCAGGTTACCTGTTCGCTGTTATTATATGACCCAAGAGTTGTTATTCGTATGTATGAAGGTACCACGCCATGGAAATATGTAAACTGGCGTATTAGACGTCTAAAAAGATAGATGTAGTTATACCTTGAGAAAAATTTGTTTGACACCATGTTGGATTGTTTAATCGATCAACTAATAAATCTTGGACTGAAAAAAAGGACTGTTCTACTCTACTTTCGAGATGAAATCATTTCTAAAATTTCCAACTTTTACAAACGTTAAAATTGGAGTCATAAATCTCAATTATATCGACTTCCTTTTCGATCATTCCTTTTACTAACAGAGTAGTGATTAAACTATCTTTTTCGTGTTTGAAACAATACAGTTCTGAGGATCTCTTCATAAATGGCGACAGAAGATAAGATTAAGTCAAACCAGTTAACTTCAGTAATAATGCTTTAGAAAAAGTGATAAAATTGTCTCACTCAACGTTATTATCGTTTGATTGAGGGGCTCTTATTTAAGTAGCAAAAACTTTATGAAACAAGCGATAATAGTAATTTAAGCATCGTATTTTGTTGTCTGAAAGGTCATAGTTTGTTTCTGATCAAAGAATCTTTACGGTTATTTAATGCGGAGCGCTAGATTGCCAAGAACTTTTAAGACCTCACAATCCACGCAATCAGTTTCTTACAATTTGAAAATCGCGTTTTTTTTTAAAGAATGAATGATTTTATGGCACCTTTTAAGTACACTGAAGTGGGGATAACTAGCAAAAATATTGGAACGTAACCAAGGGTTGCAATAAGAAAACAGAGTTTGGGCCCGACTCAGAGTCCTTTTTAGCCCGAGCCGCCAGGCGAGGGTTATGATGACTGTGTAGGGCCCAAAACATGTTTATGCCCAAGATCATAACCTGTATTACTATTATCATCACTTTGGAAGGCATCGACGCAATAAAAGCTGAAAAAATGACAAGAAAACAGTCTGAACAATCACGGGAATATCCGAGCGGGCTAAAATGCCAATATCTCCATTTCAGCTCGCAAAATGCTCTTCAATGCCCGACATAGTGATGATAAATAACACGTTTCGGAGCTTTGCCATTTTCAGTCTGGTGCCCTGAGCCACATTTTATTCCACATGCTGTCTTCGTGCGAATCGAGACGAATATAAAACCTTTCAGCGAAAATGTAGGTTGAACAACATAATGATACGACTTGTTCAGTTTTGCACTCGTAACCAATTTATAAATCAACAGGAAAGTACATAAAAACATTATTAACCCGCAATTTAAGAGGTTTTCAGTTAGATCAACTTTTTTTGAGTGTCAGCGACTTCATCGTGGAACAATTTTAAAATTGATGAAATTTCCTTGCAATGGACAGTTTACTAATTTAGTTTCAGCAGGAAAACCTTAGGATGCTTGGCACTGGAGATCATAACCAGGATAGTTAATTGGAGAAAAAGATTTTGTCGGGAGAAGTGAGTAGCACTTGATCTCGATCAGTTTTGGAAACCGATTTTACTCATGTATGGCTATTTCTACGAAGACGGTGTATTTCAGTTGCGTTATAATTCCATTCTTTTCAAGTCCTAGAAAACATGCACATTATTTCACTTGTTCGTTTTATTCAAAGAAAAAAAAATTAAAGAAAAAAAATTTGGAAAATAGAGTCAGTTGTATCGGTAAAAATGTGAATTTTGACATTTCCCGAAAGGTTATTCTGTTTTTATGCTGATTCGCTATGACATTTGCGTCATGTGAACTATTTTTGTGAATTTTGACACTGCCTGAGAGGTTATTCTGTTTTTATGCTGCTTCGCTATGACATTTGCGTCATGTGAACTATTTTTTTTTGTAATATTGTAAGTTCCAATTTAGAGGACAAGCACTTTTTACTTTGAGAAAATATACTAATGTCGTGGAACAGTGACAGACTTCGAATACTATTGGCACTGTGGCGGCCAGTCTACACAACAGCTAAGGTTTGGCTCAGTCGAGTTCTGTTAACTAGTTCTGCGTTGGTAGAAAGTCGATGAGAAGTCCACTGGGGAATATAGGAGGAAATTCTTGCCTGTACACTTTATCAATGCAATATTCGTGGTTAATTTTATCAATACTAAGCTATACTACTACAACCACCTTACATACTACCTTTACCAGAACGCTGAGTCCGTCAGAAGTTCGGCAGCTTGTTATTAACTTTACTTTTGAAAGCTACAATTATTCAATGAATAGTTTCTGTACTGAATTATGAGAGATAGGATGTAGAACAGTTTACCAGAAGCTCAGAGGGTAAAGTGTAAGCAAATGTAGGCAAATTTCCATTCTGTTACTCTAAGTGAAAACTGCATATCTCAATAAATCTGACTGTGTGAAACTGCCACGAATTTTTCTTTAACAGCTAAACTTTGACAACTTGATCTTGCTCTATTTATTTTTTGCGTGCTACGTATATTGTATTTTACGTATATTTTATATTCAAGGACTTTTTTTACAGTTGGGCGAATACAAAACAGTAATATTCATCACGGTCTGTTTTCCACATTAAAATGCGCGCAGTGAAGCATGGAGACTCCCTTCATTAGAATTTTATTTACTCTAGCGCAGCACAGGGTATAGAGGTTAAACATGTTATTATTCCAGACAGGATTTTTATCGATCAATTGAGTCAATGAATTTTAATTTCAACAGACTCGCCGAGATCCTAAAGCCATGTAATCCTGATCATCAGTCGAGATCTTGAGAGGCGGGAATATGGTTAAGAACGATTACGAGAAAGTAAACTCTGACGAAGAAGGCAAAAATAATGTCAACCCAGTTCTGAATGCCAACATCTTCTCCCGAATTACAATATGGTGGATGAACAAAATCTTTGTTACGGGAAACAAACGGCCACTGGAGGAAGACGACTTATTTCCACTCTTAGAAGAAGATAAATCTGAAGTATTAACAGAAAATTTACAAGAGGAGTGGGACAAGGAACTGAAGAAGAGGCATCAAGGCAAACGGCCAAGATTTTGGAAGGCTTTGATGCGAGTTTGCCCATGGTATGAATATTTCTCAATTGTCGCTCTGGTTCTGACAGACATGGCAAACAGAATGACACTGCCAGTTTTGCTTGGTTTCCTGATCTCTTACTTGATGGGAATACGTCAGTTGGATGTTAGTTTCAAATATATCTTACCCACTTTTATATGTATCACATCCTTGGGAAGAAACCTAGCTCAACATCATTATCAAAACAGGTCTGCTCTTTTAGGGATGCGATTCAGAGCGGCAGCCACTGGTTTACTTTACAAAAAGGTGAGTATAAGATTTACTACATTCATAGATTAAGAATAAAGGTTACATTTACATTCCAACCAATCTAAGTCGCAACTTTTTGATAATAGCTGACTCCGAATTTCAACATTCTTTACATTTCAAAAAAGTGCCGATTTTAGAATAAAACGGCCATCGAAAAACTTGAGATTAATGCAAAGAATGCTAGGACGTTTAACGAAACATCTAGTAAGTTTTTAAGCCAGAGTTGTTCTAGAATTGTTTCTAAACAATATATTTGCATATTAATGCAAGCCTCATGAAAGTATATTTGAACACGCCATCCATAGAAAAATCTATAGATTTTAAAGACTAGAGAACTCTTTGAAATATCAGCTAAAAAGGTCATTTTTCGAAACTAAAACACTGTTACTATTGAGAAACACGAGTCAACTCATTTTTTGCGCGTAGAAGTTTCTCAACCGTAAATTTCTCTCCTTTATCTTTGATCAGGGACGCGTAAAAATAAAAAACGCCAACGCTTACTTTGTTGTGAATTGTTGCGCCCGAAATAATTATGCAGAACGTAGCTTTCCCAATTTTAACGGCTTCCATTTGCAAACGATGTACTGAACAGTAGATTATTAAATAAATAAATAAGGTATCATAGTCCCATGGTAGTGTTTCACGCTATCTAAATGATATTTCCTAAAAGATTGGTTTATCAACAGAGACTCACTTCTAATCATGTTAGCGTGAAATACCTCTTAGCGGTAAACTTAATATTGCCCATTATATTTGCATAATTTGTCACGAGGCAGAGTGCAAAAAAAACTTTGTCAAATCAAGCATCACGAGAAAGCATCAGTTATGTCAACGCACCAAATTCAGTAATTTGTAATTTGTAGTAATAGTGTTTCAAATGGGAAAACGTATTAAAACACCAAAGGTAACCGATTGAATACGTCCCATCTCGTTTTATATCTGCTGTTTGACTTGAAAGGCTCACACACCCTTCATCAAAGATTTTATGTGCAATTGGACAAGAATACTTTTAGGGGACGCAAAATTAGTTCCTAAATGCTTATTAATGATAAGAGATGTGTTGTGAAAAGAAAAAAAAAACACTATTTAATTTTTTCGAAGGAATGTGAAAGATCATCTAGGCTAAATATTAAGCGAATATCTTGTTGTTTTTTACCGGTTATGGGGAAATAAGGATTTAGAGAGGGCCGGCCATTTTGTCTTGTAACAATCAAGCGGTTTCTTTTAGGTTATTGCATACAATCACATTATTTGTATATTATTGATAAAACTTATATCATGTGGTATTAATTTGTTATGGTTCGGTAAACAATTTCCTTTCCAATTTTTAAAGAATTCACTCGACAGCCAAACCCATTCAAATTTTGAAATACATTACTTTTCTCGACCATGAACCAAAATCTATTTAAAGTACGCTCGGCATTGATGTACCTGATGCCAGGAGCCTTCTGCAGTGAAACGAAACTTTAAAAAATTAAACATATAAATAATGACAACATGGATTATATCTTCGGTTTGGTAGCTCCGAAAAGCCTGCTAAAGAATGCCAAAATACTGAGGTAGTTGGTGGTTGACGATCCGAAAAGTAGAATACCTTGTACATCTCTTCAGTTCACAGCCAACAGCTTGGCGAAAGTTGTTTAGTTTTACAGAAATCCTTCCCCTATTGGAACTATGGAGGTAAATTCACCTGATAATGCCATCATTTGATCCTTGTAGAGATGTTTTGCACCAAAAATTAGAGCAGCATGAAAAAATTTAATTCATTTTTCCCGAAAAGAAGTATTTAGAAATCGGTAACGGACCTAACTGTTTAATTATCACGAATGATATCCTAACACTCCAAACATGGGTACATATCTAAGACTTTTTCCTGGCCGAGCGTAAGGGCTGCATCGGGGAATAATTGGCCAGAAGTTGTGACGGTACGGACCGAACACACTGAAGTCCGTACGCCTTGAGCAGGCGAGGTTGGTAAGTAGTATATTATATGGCACTCTAACAAAACTTGGTCATTTTTAATTTGCTGGCTCTCGCGGATTTACCTCAGGACTACCTTGCCATATAATAACGTAATAATAATTGAAGGTAAAAGATTAATTTCTTAATGTTCTTGTTGCTTTAGGTACTACGCATGAGCCAATCAAAGCTTGCAAAGATAACATCCGGTCATGTGATCAACTTGGTATCCAATGATATCCAGCGACTAGATCTAGCCACTCAAAACCTCTTCGCGTCACTGCGATCCCCGTTCGATCTCGTGATTCTAGGAATTCTTCTTTGGACTCTGATTGGCTGGCAGGCAGTTACAGGTTTGGCCTTTGCTCTCATTCTCATTCCCTACGAAGCCGAGATGACAGGTTGGGTTGCTAAGTTACGAATGCAAGCGGCAAGAGTTACAGACAAGAGACTCGCAGTAATGAATGAAATTGTCTCTGGAATACGCGCGGTGAAAATGTACGCTTGGGAGTGGCCATATCGAGATGCAGTGCGTGCGATCAGAAGGTGTGCAGAACTTTTCTTTCGTTTTCTAGGGAGCTAAGTAGAATTTGGCAGAACCAATATGTGAAACTACCGGAAATTTGTTATCGAAAGAAAGATTTTGGCCAGATTGGAAACTACTGATATATTCTCGCCCCACAGGTATCTCAAGAGCTGCCTTTCTTATTTTTTCTTTAGGTCTGAGCTTTCCTTCCTGCGCAAAATCTACAACATTCTTTCAACCTTCGCTTCACTACAGCACACCTACGATAGTGTAATCTGTCTTATTGCCTTTATAACACTCATATTCACTGGAATTCGCCTAACACCCTTCAACGTATTCACCATGGTCGGACTCTTGTCTGAAAACAGGCGATCTCTTGTCTATGGTCTCACAGACGGGATGCAGCTCATCGCTGACTGCTTTGCATCTCTTGAAAGAATCGAGTCATTCCTTTTGATAGAGGAATTGAATGGAAATGGGAATGGAAAGGAAGAAAATCATCCAGAGGAAACAACGGGAAATGAAAATGGCGACGAAGAAAAGGCCACAGACAAGGAAAGTTCCTCAGGAAAACCTTTTTTAAAGGTAGATCAAAGAAATTTTTAGGGCTATAGTTTTCTTTACTAATAAAATTTGAAGTAAGAGGTTAGCGAGCAAGCGATTAAGACAGTTAAAAGAAAATCTTCGCCAAGGAGAGTCTGAGTAATGGGAAATGTCGAGTATGCTTTGATTGTCAATGAGGGGTCTTGCAGAGAATTTGACCTGGGATTAAGCCTTTTAATTCAGAGTCGCAAAGGACCAAATTTAGGCAAAGAAAAGGAGGTAAGTGCGGCAGATATTCGTATGAAAGTTAATTTCGATCTGTTGATCTTGGTAAAAGCATGATAATGGCGGAACGCGTTAAGATAACTTTCGTCGATGAAAACGACTTTACAAAGAGGGAAAGCGTGCGGAAGCGTGGGATAAAAAGCTCTCGGTTAAAGCAGTCCCTCTTACAAATTTCCTTCATAAAAATTTTCAGGCTTCCAACATAACTTGTCACTGGAATGGCCAGAACGAAGCCTCAGTTCTCAACGACGTTAGTCTCGAGGTAACCGAAGAGAGATTACTTCTAGTGACGGGTCCTGTTGGTTGTGGCAAATCATCTCTTCTCTTAGCATTTCTTGACGAGCTACCACCAAGCACTGGTAAAATAACTCACAATGGGAGAATAGTCTACGTTCCTCAAACCGCTTGGGTTTACAGTGGCACACTTCGTGATAATATTCTCTTCAATCAGCCATTTGACCAGGAGAAATATGACAAAACTATCGAAGCATGCGATTTGAAGAAGGACATTGCCATGTTACCCGAAGGTGACAAAACTCTCCTAGGGGAACGCGGCGCCAGTTTAAGTGGAGGTCAGCGCGCTCGTGTTAATCTGGCGCGTGCAGTGTACAGTGATGGTGACATCTATTTGATGGACGATCCTCTTAGTGCTGTTGACGCGAAAGTTGGAAAACACATCTTTGAGAACTGCATTAACGGATTGCTCAGTAAGAAGGTGCGCGTACTTGTTACACATCAACTGCAGTATATGAAGAGTGCAGACTACATTGTTATCCTAGACAAGGGCAGTGTTGTGAAGCAAGGCAAATATGAGCAGATGAAAGAAGCAGGATTGGATATTGAGTCACTCGAGAAAGAGTTTGAACTCGGACATGAAAAGTATCATGAAGTGGAGGGAGGAAAAGTGACCGTTACATCGGATCAGGTGTGAACAAAATTCCGTCTGTTCATAACACCTTGTGTAGATAAAGCAATTTCTGATGATCAATCAATATATTACATTTACCGTTCATAGCTAATTCTAGTTTTAGACGATTGTCTCTTAGTCTCTTCAGAGAATTGGTCAACTGTATTTTCACAGAAAGAAGGGTATTACGTAGTTCAGAAAAGAGAAAGGAATGATAGGTCATCAGACTCTTAGTCTAAGAGAAGACGACGAGGAAATAGCGCACTCGCATATGATTTGCATAGTTTACAAGCGCAATGTAACACTAAGGAATAACCTTAGACGATGTATCAAGGGACTTTCATGTATGGTACATTCTCGGTTTGCATTCTGTTTTTGTTAGCAATGCATCTATCTAAAGAAAGAGACGGGAAGACGAAAACAGCTTCGAAACTAACATCAAAGATATTTGGACAAACACAAAACTAACGAAAAATGCATGACCGTATTATTCCGTTTTCATTTATTTTCAGGAGAACAGCAAACGTGCTGAGCGTCGAGAAAGCGACTGTTCCTCAGGTTTGGCTGGAAAAGGTATGACTGCTTCTCAAGAAGATCGCATCGTAGGTACCATATCTGCAAAACTTTATTGGAACTACTTCAGAGCAGGCCTTCACGGGATACTTTTATTGGCTCTGCTGTTACTTTTCCTTATTGCCCAAGGTGAGTGAATCTCTTTAAAAGAAAGATTAGGAGAATTTAAGTCTGAATCGGTAGGAACTGTCCGTAGTGATATTAGTAGTTTGGCAGTATATATGGACGTGTAACGCGGTCGTATTGGGTTATAACGGAACGGTACATAAGGAGAAAAAACCGTGCGTGTGGGCCATTCGTTCGTCGGTTTTTTCTCTTCTTTGAGGAAGAGAGTTGTTTATCTTGATCTTCCTTCAATATTGTTTGTTGATATTCCTCTTTTTCATTTTCTTATAGCATCAATCATTTCACCTAATCTGTGGCTAGTACATTTAACAAGAATGAAATGGGTTGAACAGAAACACAAGTTGAACCTGATAATCTATGGCAGCTTGGTAGGCGGAGCACTCTTTCTAGCTGTTCTTCGAGGCCTTTTGTACTACTATACCACGCTCAGATGCTCCGAGAACCTGCACGATCGAATGGTCTTATCCATGCTTCAGTCTCCTGTGTACTTTTTCGACACGAATCCCTCTGGAAGGATATTAAACAGGTTTTCAAAGGATATTGGAATTGTGGACGAGTTCCTCCCGCCGACTTCACTGCTCGCTGTGCAATACATACTACAGACGCTAGCGTCTGTTTGTGTCACGTGCGCTACAAACTACTGGGCGGTCATTGGTGTCATTCCTATGATCATTGGTTTCTTTGGAATTAACAGGTAACTTACGAGCTAGTTAAAAACGCTCGGCAATTGTATATGTTAACAAATAGAGAGATTTAGCATCGATTTTCATGAAACGTGGACGCCAAGAGTGATCACGTGACCACGATTTCTCGCCATTTTTTCAAGTTTACCGGTTGCGCTTTGCTGTTTCTACGTGAAAGTAAAAAAGATTGCTGGGAAAAGATTGCACCAAAACTATTTCCTGTAAGTTATGCCAGGAAAGATGAAGTTTCATGCATAAAATCCTTCAAATGCCGCACTTTTCGTAAGCAGACAGCCGCAAAAATTCACGTTGACTCCTCATCGAAACTCGAAGTAAAGTGAACTCACGCGTAGCTAAAGCGGTAAAGTTCGTGCCATTTTCCGTGAAAGGGCAAGATGACGCTTGTCGTTTCTCGTAAACGCGGTGTTAAATCTCTTAAATGTTATGGGCATACACTGCGTATTGTGCATGCGTTCTTCTGGCCCATAAGGTAAGTATACCCCTTGAAAAGTGAAAGTTTTATTCTCAAACTTATAACTAGATTAGAAAGGTCCGTTTTTTTTAGGCGGTGGCATCAGTTAGCATAAATGTAAGTTTTAGGAAAAATGATTGTAAATTTAACGATAAAACATGGCCTACAGTGAACCTGTTGTTTTCAAGCTAGGAGCTCTGTTTCTACTTGCTTTTTGGTGACCTGTATGATTTTTAAATAGCACCAGGATTGGAAACATTAAATTCCCGGTTTATGCTCCTAGAAAGCTTTCATCAAAAACTAATACAATTGTGGTTAGCGATCTACCATTTGGTTGGGAGAAGTAGTCTAATCCTTTGAGGATGAATAACTTTGGACGAACGCACATTCTTTTCTGTTTCCGTGCAGGTATTATCTGAAAACTTCTCGTGAAATAAAGCGAATGGAAGCCATCAGTCAAAGTCCAGTGCTGGCTCACTTGGCAGACACTCTAGAGGGAATCATTATAATAAGGACGTATCATATGGAAGACAAGTTCATGCAAGATTTTAATGAGTGAGTGAAAATTAAGCCAGCAAACTAGTTTGTTTCTCGGCAATCCATAAATTAAAGCTGCGTCAGTCAACTTTACCTATAACCACAGATTACTGATTGTAACATCGTAACGAAGGGGACTGGCTACGAACGCCTTTTAGAAAATTTACCTACGATCAACAACGTTCCATGATCGGGTGGAAGCTGGAAAATACCTTCATCAGTCTAGATATGTTACTCATCAAACTTAACGAATACTCATTGTTATTCTACAGGGTGCAAGACAGAAGAAGCCAGATTTGGTTTCTTGTGCCTCACAGCGCTCGGTGGATGGGAATTCGCTTAGACTTCGTGTGCACCTTGTTCGTAGCGATATCCACATTCACTGGAGTATTCTCAACAACTGATGCAGGTAAAGTGAAACTTCTAGCTAGCTATTCATTCAGTTTATTTAACAAACTTGGGACAAAGCTTCTCGAAGACAAAATAGCTAACCGAGCTTCAACTTATTAAATTAGTTTCCAGATAATATTAAAATTAAAAGAAGGAGGAGAACATTTCAAAATTTGTCACGACGAGGACAGAAATAACTTGCAAATGAAAATTTCAACATTTAGTCCTTAGAGATACCCAGCATTAGTAAATATAATTTGTTCATTCGAAGCATCAGATGCTAGACAGATGTTTCTTTTTTCAATGTTATACGAATTAACAATCCGCCATTTTTGTCCTGTTAGGAACGCTCGGGTTATCTCTAGTTTACGCCATCAGTACTGTTGGTCAGCTGCAATTTGCCATGCGCCAGACAGCCGATGTTGAAAACATGATGACAGCAGTGGAGCGTGTCATAACCTACACAGAGCTTCCCAAGGAGCCGACGTATGACATCAATAACAAGCCCCCTTCAGACTGGCCCCAGGAAGGTGCCCTTCGTTTTGAGGACCTTTCTCTGACGTACTACGAGGGAGGACCACAAGTCCTAAAGAAGATTTCAATAAACATCAATGCAAGAGAGAAAGTTGGCGTAGCTGGACGAACCGGAGCTGGTAAATCGTCTTTGGTATCCGCCTTATTTCGAATGCCAGAACCGGCTGGGAATATTTACATTGATGATTTAGCACTGAGCTCATTTAATGTTCAGAGCACACGACCAGTGATTTCTGTCATCACTCAAAACCCCACTCTGTTTAGTGGGCCGTTGCGCATAAATTTGGATCCATTCTCCCGTTTCTCGGACGCGGAGGTATGGAGCGTGTTAGAACAAGTTCAAATGAAATCGAAAATCATGGAGCTTCCGGGAGAACTTTATTTCGAACTCTCCGAGTCAGGAAACAATTTTGGTGTCGGGGAGCGCCAGCTACTTTGCTTGGCAAGATCTTTGTTGAATAAAAACAAGATCATCGTAATGGATGAAGCGACAGCCAATGTGGATTTTAGCACAGATAGAAGAATTCAAGAGACAATAAGAAGCAAATTTCAAGATTGTACCGTAATCACCATAGCGCATCGTTTGAATACGATCATAGACTATGACAAAGTGCTAGTAATGGACAAAGGAACAGTTGTAGAATATGACAAACCAAGTGTTCTTCTACAAAACAAGGATGGGGTTTTAACAGAATTATTTCGAAATCAGCAAGTAGCCCTATCTTAGTAAAAACCTTATATTAGTCAACCAATTAATGAACAAAAAAGGTAGTGTTTCGAGAGAACATTTTTTTTTTGGAATAGAAACGAAATTTAACCTTCCTTTTCGAAGGAAATTTTCAGGAATCGCACGGGAAAGGTGGGAGGAGAATTGGTAGATTTTTGTTGTCTAAAAACAGATCAATCTAATAGCTTCGATGGCCTCTCGAAAATTCTTCCTTAAAATATTCATAAATTATATTTTTGGAAAAGTGTTCTTTATACGAAATTGGCTAATGCTATGATGTTTTTTCTTCTGAGAGGAGATCTTCTTTTAATTCGATTGAAGTTTGGTCTTATTAAACCAAAGTGCCTACGAACAACAGGAATATTTCACTTGAGAGTGACACAGTTTAGGATATTTCTGGTAAATATGGATTGAAAATAATGAAATGAACAATGAGCTATTTTCAAAAGAAAACTCGTAATGAAATTGGTGAAGCGGATAATACTTTCTTGACAATTAAATTACCAATAACTGAGCCTATTGTTACATACTTCAACCGGGACTATTAATTTCTCATGTGGATGGTCGAATGTATCACGCCGTCGTTCAAACGTGTATTAATGAAATATTTAAGGATTTTAAAATATGAATTTAGGTTAAGTTAAATAGAGGATCCTAAGTTCAGTACTTATCAGAATTTGACGTTATTGGTCAATAAAATTCTGTTGTCTGGCAGTTGTGTTGGCGCGAGGCAAGGTGTTGTCGCGAGGAAGGGATAGTGGAGACGTAACCCTTCACACCCTAGCATCAGTATGCAAGTTCTCCTTACTGTTCTCTATACATTTCCTATGTTACTTACAAGGAGAATTGGTCTGACAATCAAGAATTTCTTGAGTTCGCGATCATTTCCTTTATTCTCGTGACCTTAATGTTTGATTCAAATGTGATTCTGTTGGGAGAAATTTGATCATAGTGCTTATCATTCTGAGGGGTTTAAGGAATAATTTATGTTCAGCGGTATACAGTACGAAAGTCAATCAAAATACTTCGAATCAAAAGCGTCTTTTTGCCAGGACCATCTGTCAAGAAAAGAACTTTAAGTATGCACAGTGGGGGAAGAAGAAATTTATCAACCCTAAAGGCAAATTATTATTACTAAGAGCTTGGGTTTCATTCACCTAGCATGATGGAAACGAAATAACAGCCGCGAAAGTTAATCCAGTCAGAGGCATAGAACCTAAGTTATATGTTTGCAGGGTGGCGTTATGGTATTTTGCTAAATCATAACATGAATGCTAGGAGAGTGAAATACGTTTAACGAAGTTAATAGATCAAAAACTGATCCAAACTGAGAGGTTTATAATATTTTAATCGAACTTTAGGAACATATACAACAAACAGGAGAAACTACATCACCATTGAGAACGAACGATTATTAATTATTTTTTCCACTTTCTCAGTTTAAATTTTTCTCGGAAATATAGAAAGATACCATCGAAATAATTGAAAAAAAAAAAAAAGAAATACAGAGGGTGGCCTCTTACAAAAAGGATCCTTAACAGTTTATAGTTCAATAGATAAAAACAGATTAGACACACCAACATGGTATACCCTTGGAATTACTGGGAATTAAACGAATATTTAATTTATGACCATAACTGGGGTTTTCCGAGATAATTTACATATCTACAGCTTTTCTCACATTGTTCAGTCCTATTGCTTTCTGTTTTGATGGGGGGCAACCCGGAAAGAAATGACACTGACTGGACAGTGCTGACGAGTATTCGAACGTTTATGACGACTTTTAACAAGAGGGGAGCTGGATTCTTTAACTATTCTTGTAATGCAGTCGGGAAAACTTATTTTAACACTTTTCTGTTGATATCCATACACTCCCCTTATAAATAGCAACAAATGAAATACATGTATCTTGTCGTAAACTTTCGCCTTCCTTATGGAGGAGATAGACGGGGAAGCAAGTGAGCGAGCTAGCACAAATCTGATTTATTACTGATTTGGTACTCTTAATAACCGATTGTTTTCAGCTCGAGAGCTAAAAAGTACGTCCAAATGGTTGAGACAATTAGCAAAGGATAAATGCTTGCTGTAAGCAAACAAAGCGTAACATTTTTCATTCCTTTACTAAGCGCAAGAAAACTGACACTATCCCAAAAAACCCCTTGCTCGATCCTATAAAACATCGCCTCTGAGAATCTTTTTCTCAGTTAAATAAATATGTTTCGGAAATCTAATAAAAACTACTGATGTTCCTTAAGGGCTTCACGTTTCATGGCATTGACATTGGCAACAATTTTGAGCGCAGGACCCAGCTTCATGTGCATGGCGACCACCATGTGTTCCTCACGCAGGAGCATCAGCGCCTGACCGTCAATCTCTTGCGACACAAATGAGTCCGCATACTCAGAACAACCGTTCAGGGACCTTGAGAAAAATAACAACGTGCATCACAGCAAGAAAATGAAGAATCAGATAACACGGCTATGGCTTTGAAAAACTATTCAACCGCTCTAAAGTGCTCACGTGGTTAGTTAGTGCACCATTTTGTTTCACAAGCGGTCTCATGTTTACACGGTGAATAAAGAGGGAAAGTTCCTAAAGAAACTGTGTTGCGTCGATGCGGGGTTTTAAAAGATGATTTGGTGTTTCATCTGAGTTCATAACGTAAATTAGCCAACGTAAAGAGTTTCTAAAGCTGACGTTTCGAGCATTAGACCTTTGTCAAAAGTAGCGCAAGCAGACTCGTCAGGGTTTTGTCATTGAAACACGGCAACTCCGTGTTTTCGCGGCAAATCTAGTGGTGAGCGCATGCACAAATAATTGCTTCTGTCATATCCCGTCCTTATATCTAAGAATTTTTTAGTTTCCAAGTCGCTCAGAGCAACTTCTTGTGGTCTTGAAGCTTGCGTCCAAGACTAAACTTTAAAAATGGTGTCTAATTAGAGAAAATGGAGTAACAATGACTTCCAGCTTGGAAACACCATAAAAAAATCAAGTCAACAAGCAGGACACATTGCTCATTTATTTGGGTCGATCGGCTGTTGCCATTTGTCTTCTCTCTCACTGTCAACGTTTCATATGGTTTAGTCTTTGCTGGACTTTCTGACTTTAGAGTCAGTAAAACTTATCGTAAGCGATGGTAGGGCTAGTTTGGTAAAAATTAAAGTGGCGAACATTTATTACCACATCAATCAATATTTTTGTGCTAGATAATACCATTTCAACAGTTAATACTCACTTTACGAAGGCAGCCACTTCTTCTACATTCCACTTGGCGGCTTCAACATGTTCATACAACCACAGGGGTTCCACATCGCTGCGAGTCCAGTCAAAGTTTAGTGGGTGGACTGTGTCTGTTTTAATGGTAAGGGAAATGAAATGAAATGAAATGATATTAGCCCGGAACCACTAGGGACGGAATAGTTGATAATTAACACCAACCGTTGACAGTTATGAATGTAGATGACTTTTATGACATGTTAAAGAGGTCAGTACCAAAAAAAAAAAAAAAAAAAAAAGACTCTCTTCAACCTTCGTGGTTCACAAGCCTTAAGTTATTTAATTTTTAATTTAATTTTTTTTCATGATGTACGCAATTTGCTCACAAATCAATTTGATTGCTCTCACTATTTTTCAAGAAGACATAATAGTATGATTTAGCATTCCCAAACGTGCTCTAAATTCTAATTCCTTTATCAGCTAGAAACATAGACCAAACAATTATGTCTCGGTGACCCTGAGTCAGCGCAAGAAGGACAATCAAAGTATTCTTTGATGAGGTCGAAAGCATATGATCTTGACCAGGGGTTCGTTTCTCGAAAGTCCCAGTAACTTTTCAGACCCGAAGTAATATCTTTAAATCTAATTCTAAGGAAGAACTATCCATTTTTAGCTCAAAAAGCAGATAATTCTGTTTCGTGTCCTGATGTCTATTGTTTAAATTTCAAAAATTTCAATATCTTGATCTTGAACGAAAAATGGCAAACAAAAAGTACGTTTTTGGGCCCGCAAACTTACCGGGTATTTCGAGAAACGAGCCCCTACACGTCACGGTTCTTTTTGACTCTTTGCCACCCACACCCATAATAATTATTTCACTCTACTTCGATCTTCTTAAATTTTTATTGAAAACTTTGTTTTTGTCGCTAATTACACTTTCATCGCAGTTATTCCGCTCGGTCGCCAATGGTTACAAGTTGATGTGACAATGGCTGACTGGGCAATTTTAATGTGGTATCCCAAAAAACTCGTCATATTAAACAAAAAGGGATATTAGTGCATAAGAAGTTGCCAAATATCGCCTTAATATATAATCTATCTCAAGCCTCAGTTATCTTAACAAAAAAATCATTTTATTGTCAATGATGGCCAAAGACGCTTTGAAAATAAAACAGCATAAAGCGTGTTCTCGTTCTTTTACACTGAAGCACTTGACAAACAAAGTATTTTAACATCATATTTGAATAATTTTCTGCGCATTTAAACTGTTTTATGTCTTCTTCTTTCCTGGTAAGACCATCTTCGGGGAGAAGGCTACTATCATTAAATAATCCGAGAGTACATTATTCACCAGTCTAAAAGTAGGACTAAAAACGGCAACGTTACACAATTTGTAAGCATTTTCGGCCTGTCTCCTTATATCGTTACATTTTAAATGGAAAATAATTAAAATCCTTTAATATGCAAGTTGACGGCTGAATTGACAAAAATCGAACAAGTAAACACTGTCAAACAGTCGGGCACACTCTTCACACACCTTCACCACCGTGACGCTAGCCGCCACAAACTAGACACAGGTTTCACTCTTGACACGAATCACGCACCCTAAGCAAATTTCAAGCCCGCCTAGCTCGCTACGGAAGGAAGTAAATCTGACCAAAGCATTTTCGTCGTTTACTTTAAATGAGGGTACAGCAAACAACTGACGTAGATAAATGGTCAAGTAATATTCACCTGTTTGATCTCCCTCTTCGGTTTTTTTCGACTCACCATCCGGGCCGTTTCGAGGAATCTCTGCTTTCGCCTTAGACTTTCGATCTGACATTTCATTTCCCATCTTTGAAATGTTACTTTTTCTTTCTTAAGTTACTTCGGTGGCTTCGTTAACCTTACAATGCACCCGTCGTTATGATATTAGGAAGCCAGGATCACAATAGTTTTATTGTACCGTTCATGAATAACTCAGACGAAACAGAGAAATGGCATTCCAACTAACATCGATACATTGCCGTGGATACGAAAAAAAAGGAGCATATTTACTAAACCATTCTCAAGTCTCAAGTTAATAGTGGAATACTGGTTATGTCATGATAGCATCGTTAAAAGCAAATTAAATCTCGTACAAGCAATAACAAATGTTTGGAGTTTCAAACAAGAATCGAAGATTATGCAAGATACCTTTTTCACAGGCTAAAATATGCGCAAAATCAATTTTTTTTTAATGGAGAAAACTTGGGGAAGATGAGCATATTTTGAATCAGTACTTTTTTGCAGCGCTGGTTAAAATAAATTCCTGATGAGTCACTAAAGAGAGCAGAGCACTTCTTACAATAATAACAACAGACTGCTAAACGGTTATGCATTCGAGAATTCACTGGGCAAATGTATCGCTGCGCAACTTTATTAATGAGCTTCACCCAGTTTCCGTTTAAATCAACACCGACACACTAAAAAATTAACAGCATTCTTAACACTCGAACACACAGAGAGCTGATTAACCGTTCCACCAACTTCGAAGGTCGAGCAATGAGAAATAAATGAAAAGCAACCGCGCGAAAACTGTGGGCGAGAAGACTAGGTAAATTCGGCGCGTTTGACCTTCGACCATGGCTGTGTTTAGTATATTCCACACAAGAGAGTGGTACACGCAGGCTAAAATCCAAAGAGATATAGCTCCATGGCTAACGCCATTGCAGAGCGTTTAAAAACATTCCTTCGCAATTTGTTTTAATTCTATTTTTCTCCAGCCAATCTGTATGGAAGGGAGTGTGCATATAGGCTACGCCATCAAGCTTTAATTAACATTAACTTGAAAAACCTCTTCAGTGACGTTCTCTAATTACACTGCGAGTGACACAAATTATTGAAAGAAAGAGGAAAAAGGCTTTACTCACCAAACTCATTTACTTGAATTGAGGCATCCACCATATATGGACCTGCCTGCTGTTCATAATACTATAAATAAAGCAGCACAGAATATCACTTATTCAAACATATTACACAGGGTAGTTGTTGTGGATAGTAACATGAACACCCTTATCAATTTTGCTTTGCAGTAAGAAAACAGGCTTCAAACTTTTTTGACCTTGTCAAATTCCTTGACTTTCGCTGACTTTGTCCTAGGATTGAATCTTTTATTGAATGTTGAATCTTTTTCAAATTATGCAAAACCATCATTTGTTCAAGGAAGTTCTTTTAATCTTGTTCTCATAAAAATACTTTCAATGATAGTCTCTCTCCCCCCCTCCCCCCCCCCCAAGAAAAAAATATTAACAAGTGCAGACCCTCAAGAAAAATCTACATATGTTTAAGGAAAGCTACTTCAGATGTATATTTTGCAGGACTGAATTGGTGAAACGATAAACATTTAACAACATATTCAACAATTTCCCTCAGAGCAAAGTAGATCTATAAACGTCAACTATAAAAGGTTCACTTGACACATGCATAAGATTGTTAAGAAGAAACTTAACCCTTTCACTCCCAAGATCTAGTTAATAATTCTCCTTACTATCTGCCATACAATTCTTATGATGTTAGTTCAGAGAATTTGGTATTGGATCAACTATAATCCCATAATTGATAGTCTTCTCTATTCTCATCACCTGCCTGCTTGATATTGTATTGACATTGTAAGGAGAAATTCTGTCTTGGTCACTTGTGGCAGTGAAAGGGTTAAGGACTTTAAATGGCATGAGAAATTTAGACATGGTCAAGTTATTTATTAAGGAATAGTGTGACACAGAGAACATCTTTAAAGAAATTTAGTTTAGTTAATGATTCCTCATTTATGCTCTTCTCAGAGTGTGCACAGGATAGAGTTCAAATTTTTACAAGAACAATTTTTTAATGCTGCTTTGGATGCATATGTTTCAATAAATTTCCTATTTGGAATGGATCTTAGCCTTAGTGACAAGGGAAGTAACAAAGTGAATGGGTGGTGAGTGATTTTGACCACAAAAATCACTTGAACTCACCATGGGTAAGGAATATGACAACTTTCTATGATCTGAGTTTGCACTGGAGTGTCGTCCACCCTGGCTACGAGCATGAAATGCTACCATTTTACGTGAGCAGCTTACACTATATCTTCTTGCACATGACGTTGAGCAGAATCTCTTTGGTCCTCGGTGATGATTCACTTCTGTGAGGCACCCGCACTGTTCACAGTGTCCAATGTTAGAATCTTCTACAAACACGTCATTAAAAGCTTCGTCATTACTTGATGGGCTCTCAGCTAAATAAAGACAAGAGGAGGAGGAAAATTTCAAGGTGATTGGTAACAGTTAACAGAATTTATTTTTTGGAAAAAAAACTGAATTTCATATAACAATTGTTAAAGTTTGCCACTGAACACTAAAAAAGTAGTCACAAGTGAATGTCTTTTTATTAGCAAAGAGGATGTAACATAACTTTGAAGTACATAAAGAAACAAGATCACTTTTAGTGTTGGGTTTACCAAAGGGTAGGGCCCAACTGCCATTTAGAAGGCATGTGTTTGAATCCTGTCCAAGCCTGAATTTTTCTAGGATTCTTTTTGGCAATTGCTTAAATTGTAGTAAACCTAGGAAGATCATTTCTTTGCTTAAAAGTGTGCTTAGGTAACAACCAAGAAATCCTAGAAACATAAGGTCAAAGAAGAGTTTAAAAAGTTAGAATATTATTCTCAATGTGTGCTTTAAAAGAAATTAGCATTCAATTATGAATGTTTATTTAGAAACTGTAAGGGATGCTAGGGGTTGAGGCAAAGTTTTAAAAGGAATTTAAAAAGCCAGCCTAGAAATTCTGGAGGGGCTGATTTGGGGGCTAAAACCAAAAATCTACTGTGAGAGGGATACTGATATTTCATGGAAAAATGCCATGATTGCAAAAGGGTTACAAAATATATATATTTTTCACCCAATAGACACTAAGTTTAGACATACCCTCAAATCCAGCTTCCATATCAATGTCTCCATTCTCATAATTTTGATTGCCATTCAGCTGGTTTTGATTAATTTCTTCCACGTCATCTCCAGACTAGATAGTAAGGGTGAACAGAGTTCATGTTAACAACATTGGTAATACTAAGACATTTCATCCTTATTGACCACTAAAATACTTCTGTGGCTCTCAACTTTCAGGATCATCGGCTGGGGTGAGTATGTAGCTCACAATTTTACATGTATTGATGAAGTATAACAAGACATTTTGTTAAGCTAACTAGACTACTGGTGTTAAGGTTCTAAAAGGAAGGCTGATCAGAAATTTTGGAAGCATTAAGTGGAATAGAGCTTATAGATTGGTTCTGGCCACACTCCACTGTGCAATTTTTAAATTACTTTTGATTCAGAGATCATGTGGGACTATCAATAGTGTGGACAGACTAATTTCTTGTTGTTGTTGGTCTGGTGAACTCCAAATCAATCAAACAGGGATTTTCCTGGAAAGGGCAGTTGTCAATGACACTGACCAATTTTCCACAAACAACCTCTGTGTTTATTGTTTCCAGAGTCTACTGAGTAGTTACCACTGATCCCAGGTATCCTTTCAAATGGTTTAAATTTCCCCACGCCTGGTAGGCCGTTAATTTCATTCCGTGGTTTCAAAAATTTGATGATGTTAAGCAAAATGATTATTGCAAGTGAGTGGGAGAAATTTGAACCAGCAACAGCCAAAATGTGAGTGTGTGACATATACTGCTCTAAGACAGTTGTCTTGAATTGTTCATAAGTGGCAAACTCAAGCCACATTTTCTGATGCTCTATAAATTTCACATGGTGAAGAATTCTCACTGTAAAAAAGATCTTAAGCTAAATAGTGGCCACTCTTGGTTGAACAGTTTGCTATGAACTAGCTAGGGCAATGAGATCACGTTAGGTGGATTTAAATTTAGATGCCTGCATGCAAGAATGGCTTGCCAAGTGAGATGTAATTTACATCATCTGAAAGGATGTTTTGATCATTAGTATTTGACATTAGGTGGGTGTCATGTGCCCCCACTCTTCAAGCAGTTTGCTTGTTTTAACTTTTAGTTGTCATAAGTTCCTTAAAATGCTTTCTTAGTCCTGATGGTCTTTTATGATTATTTTGGTTTTGGTCTTCCTAGATGAAATGGTCTCTGTTATTACAAAATAAGATGATGCCATCATTCAAAACTACACTGCAAGTCTATCATATCAAAGCGCCTTCAAACTTTTAATCACTTGTAAATATGTGCAAGTAATCAATGGTGTGCGTGATTTGTACTTTTTAGCACCGCAAAGTACAATTCATTGAATCAATTTTTTCAAATACGATAGATGCACAATATTAGTGGAATAGAATCAAAGAAAAGCAACCATCATATCACACGATCGTTTGGATCATTACCCTCTAAAAGAACTTGTGCAATCGGCAGACAGTTAAGATAAAATCAAGAAAACATATGTACGTATACTACAACCCTGCAGACAATGAATGTGATCATACAACACATTAGCTTCAAGACTTCACTGAACTGAAAGTCGATGTAACTCTACCTGACATGATAGAGATCGGGCTTACCGTAAAGGGATAGTTGCTTTCTTGAATGACAAATCCTTCCACAAAATGTGTTAGAATTCTCGGTGATGCACTCCGTTTAGGAACACGGCCAACTTGATCAAGGTGAAGCGTGTTCGCCACCATTTCCATAACTTTTATAAGCGCTACATATCAGGAATGCGCTCAGTTGAATAGAAATAGGGAATCAGGAACGAAATTCATCGTCAACGCAACTGTCAATATGAAAACAGACAAAGGATGTAGGTCGACAAAAGCGAAAAAACAGCAAATATGGCGACATGTGTGCATCTGAGCCTGCGGTAAAACGTGGACATAGAGAGAGTGTTTTTGTATTTACACGGGTAGGCTAGGAGCACAGATAAAATTGATCCATCTTTTTCAGTTCATTTCAAATTTTCGAGTCCAAAGTGTTACTTTATGTGAAATCAATTGAATTTTTGTCTTTAAACGGTTATATCATATTGAAATATTGCTAGACATTGGAAAAATTTACATAGGTATGTAACACTCTGGGGTCCCCTGTAAGTTTGCGCATTAGCCAGCATTTAACATGGTGGACGAGATGTTCGATGTTGTTGTCGTTGGATCTTGCTTTGTAGACTTGATATGTTATGTTCCTTATTTTCCAAAATTTAAGGAGACAGTAAAAGGAAATAAATTCCAATTAGACTTTGGTGGTAAAGCAGCCAATCAATGTATTATGGCTCAGAAACTTGGAGCAAAAACAACAATGATTGCAAAGATTGGAAACGATCAATTTGGGCAAGATACGATGCAGAATTTTACGAAGTTCGGAGTGAACGTTGATTTTATTTCGGTGACTGATAAAGCAGAGACAGGTCTCACAAGCATAGGTAAGACTTTTCCTTAACTTGGATCCTTTACTTTCCATATATGCACGTGCTTAGTTAATTAACCCGTCTACATCTTATGTATTCTTTCATAGCAGCCTTGTGGTCTTAATTTGTAACAGACTGCTTTGCTCGGTAAAATATTCCATTTTTGGACAATTATTGAATTATTCACGGTACACCAGATGAAGTACAGGTTTTTTATCCTCCTAGATAGGTTAGCCAAGGTATACACGTATGTTAATTATACAAACTGCAACTTTCTTTTTCAAATCAAATCACTTTTAAGAATGTGGCTTTTGATTAGCAGAGTGATTTAACCTTCATGTCCGTATATTACGCATGGGGTATATGAAACCTTAAAAAAGTCGTATATTTTTCTCTTTTGTCTCTGTTGTGGGGTTTGAAAGGGGTGAACTATGACATAGTAATTAATTTTATTTTTCTTAAAGTGAGTTTACATTATGTATGAGAGAGTGTATCTTTTTCTCCTTTTTTCAGCTGTTAACAATGCTGGTGAGCCGGCATTTATAAGTATGGCAGGAGCAAACAGGCATCTTATAATTGAGGACATCATGGCAGCAGAAACTGTTATTAAATCTTGTCCTGTTATGGTTTGTGATAAGGGCATACCTCTAAAGATTGCAGCAGCAGCATTGAAATATGGAAAGAGTTTAGACTGTAGAACATTATTTAATCCCTCACCAAAATTAGAGTTTGTGCCAGATGATGTTTATGTGAACACTGATGTTTTAGTTCTTAACAAGGAAGAAGGTGAAAGCTTGACAAGCATTGCAGCATGTGACTTTGAAGGAGTGAAAAATATAATTTTGGAACTTCACAAGAGGGGTACTTCACATGTAGTGCTGACACTTGGATCAGAAGGAGCTATCTCCTCTGAAATGACTCTAGAGCACAAGAGTGAGTTATCTGTTTGATTTTGTGAGAAATAGAAAATAAGCTTCATTATAATCCATAATTTTGTTTGTTTCTTTGTGTGTGATTTGTCTAAATGAATTATGTGACTGAATATGCTTCATAGCTCACAGTTTTCCTTGACCTAAACCCTCAGGAAACACTTTGCTTCTTTAAACAGATAATGTACTCAGAAAAATATCCAAGTATTTTTTCAGGCCAAATGAAGGCTACTGTTTATTTGTAACCCTATACTTTGCTTGGCCTTAAGCCTGTTTAGCTCATGATTCCAGAGAAAAAAAGGGATAGAGTAATTAAATAGATAAAACAATAGCTAAGCATCCTAAGTTAAAAGAATTGGAAAATGTTCAGGAACAAAAGATAAATCTGTAAGTAATGAAATTATTCTGATGATGGACTGAAGTGTAAAGTATTCTATGCCATAGTTGACCACTTCATACTCAACCATTCCCCACTAATTCTCAGTGAAGGAATTTGTTTATTCTCTTGATTTTCATTTTATATGCAACATGTGTACTATTATTTTCAGTTCCATTAATGATACATACCAGAGCATCAACAGTTGAAGCAGTGGATACAACTGGAGCTGGGGATGCCTTAACAGGAGCATTGGCTTTCTACTTGTCATGTTATCCTCAGCTTTCATTTTCTGAAATGGTATCAAGAGCAGTACATATTGCATCAATTACCGTAACAGCTCATGGTGTACAGTCCAGTTATCCCACAAGAGACCAAATAGATGACTGGTTATTTGATGCTAATTCAAGAACATTTAAGGAGTTAGGCCTTGAATTATTGCACAATGAAGTTATAGAAGATAAAGATGTGGAAAAATGTGAACAGTCATCTGTATTATAAACCTAAACCTAACAGCTTAGGTTATTAAATTGCCATTGTAAACCCAACATTAACCCTTTCACTCCTGCAAGTGACCAAGAGAGAATTTCTCCTTACAATATTAATACAATATCAAGCAGGTAAGTGATGAGAATAGAGAAGAATCTCAATTATGGGATTGTTAGAGGATCCAATACCAAATTCTCTGAACTAACATCATAAGAATTGTATGGCAGATAGTAAGGAGAATTACTAATTAGATCTTGGGAATGAAAGGGTTAACTATATCACTATCTCTGACAGACTGTCATATTCTGAAAGACTGTTTGAAAAGTAAACACATAGCTAAGAAGTAAAGCATTAAGGGAGAATATGAAGTCTATGAGAAAATCCTTGAGAGTTGGGCAACGTTTTAAAAATACTCAGGAAGCTGGACAGTTTTATTGCCTTCTTATGTCCAACATAATAAAGCACATGTAATTAATTGGCCATTTTTTCAGATACAAACTGAAAATGTGTTTTCATTGAAGTTGCAGATCCAAATTTGACAACAAGTTAATTTTTAGGTGGTATTTATTGAAATTAGTAATTTTTAATTGGATATAGCAAGTAATCTTGAATTGCTTTGGTTTTGTTTTGCTCTCTTGTTGTTCCAGGAAACTTGGCAATGTGTCATTCTCTAAACCAATCGTATTTAAGACTAAAACCAATTGCATTTGTTTATTCATATTTTCCTGTTCTTCAGGCAATTTACCTTTGTTTGCTTAGACTTCTCATTGGACCCTTGTAAAACTTTTCTTTGTTCTGTAGGCCTTTAGGATGACTTTTTTATTTTTCAGCACTTGTCGAGCAGTACTTTATTGCACATGATGTATTTTTTTCCATAGTTGTTTTTCATTTTTGCCTTCAAATGTTTATGATACTCCCATACAAAATCTCTTTATGCAGTGAGGCTCAGTGAGTGCTAAGCAGATGGACAGTCACTCATTTCTGCCAACCAGCTCTTTATCTTTTGTTCCTAACTATTACCTCCATGTTGTTTTTGGTTGTTCTTGTTTCCTCTGACCTCCACACCAATGCTATTACTCCATCTTCACTCATACTCATTCTTCCTGTTTATAAACCACCCACATCCTAAAAGTAAGCTATGTGCTTTATGAAAGGGCTAAGGCTTGATACATCAGTGTCAGAATCTCTTTACAGTTGTCACTCAGTAAATAAAACCAAGTTTTCCTGTGATACCTTCTCCCTCTCCTCCATTCCCAACACAGTATCACAGTTTCTTTATAAACTTGCCCCCCAGATTCCAACCAGTGGTCAACATACTTAATATTATTTTCCCAAGATGATTAAGAAGTTGTAATTTAAGCTAGTATTCATCATTAAAAAATCCCTGTCTCATCAATTATTTTATCATTTGCTTTTCCCTTTCCATTTTATTCGTATACAACTAACAGATCTTCAGAATTTTTCACTTTTTTTGACCCGATGAGTACAGTTGATGTAGGCGAGTTCAGCGAACCCTTACTCACCCCTGCCGAAGACGTGCCTTCTACTGGCACCAGCCTCTCTGCGGCTATCACACGGAACGCCTTGTAAGAAACATGTCGGAGATGAAGACTTCAATCGCGTGGCTCTTTTTGTTACTTCTATCGGGTGGAAAAGTTTATTGTGCTGCTGGTGATGACTTTACTGAAACTGTTACTCTATCAGGTGGGAAATTTCGCATGGGTAGTTCGTCTGCTGACCCCAAACGCGGAGAACTAGCGGCCAAGAGTGTTGGGGTGAAACCATTTGTGATTGATAAGTATCCTGTAACAAACGAAAATTTTCGGAAGTTTATCCGCGCCAAGAAATTCAAGACGGAAGCAGAGAAGTTTGGGTGGAGTTTTGTGTTTCGTACTTTTGTACCGGAAAAAGTGCGATCGAAGATCACACAGTCTGTCCCGGTAAGTTCTGATTTACTCTATTTCGAAACAAGTGCTAATTGGAGAAATTTTGTACTTTCAAGAGTAAAAACTTCTGGGGGATTCTCTGGTTAAAGTTTTCAGGAGCTACCCGTTTCGCTCTCCTGTCATTCTAAGTAGATGATTTTTTCTTTTCTAGTGAAACTAGTGGTCGGTCGACGAATAATTCCAAGGAGACGTTTATCTCTTTTTGTATATTTTTGTTTATTCGCGTTACTCGTACCTGCTGTCGACCAGACCGTCGACTGTTAAATTCTTTTTCCTCTGTGTATTGGTTTTGGCCTCCTTTTTTATCTTCTCGGTCCAAGAAAAATTTTGTATTGTATCCACGTTACATTGTGGCTAGATTTTATCAACATTTCTTTCTTGGGAAGAGGGAACTAAGTAAAATAAAAGAAGGACCTCGGAAGTCGAGGTAGTTTATTTTACTTAGTGTCCACATTACTTTGACAATGTTCGTAGTAAGTTTCCCAATCTCTCTTAGAAGTATCTTCTAGGTAAGTCACCTCCTTCTACAAAATGTTTTGTCTAACAGAGCCTGATTGCTGGTTGTGCCCACCCATTGAAGTACACATATACATGTTTTCCTACTCATGATAAATTTTCTTGTAGGGCGCTCCATGGTGGTTACCCGTACAGCAGGCATACTGGAGACAGGTAGGTCCATAAGATTTCTAGAGTTCTTCACTAAATATCAAACCTAATAATTCCCATAGCTAAGTTGATAAATCATTTAACCAAAAAGTCAGGGGTTTCAAAACCTCAAAATCCTTCAATCCCATTCCTGAGACAAACATTCATGACCTTTCTCTAGCTTGTAAGTGTTGGATAAGTTTGAGTGATTTGGATTTTTTTCTGTGCCTAGCCAGGAGGTCCAGGTACCTCAATTAAAGAGAAATTGTCATATCCAGCTGTTCATATAAGCTACAATGATGCTCAGGCATATTGTGAGTGGATGGGCAAGCGGCTGCCTACAGAGGCTGAGTGGGAGTTTGCTGTTAGAGGAGGCCTCAAAGGTGTGGTAAAATTAATCATAGGGATTTGTTTTCAAGAACATAGTTAAAACTGTGGTACTGTGCCAGATAAATAGCACTTTAACCACATGCACTAGCAAGTTTTGGGGTTGGTTGGGTGATGTTTGGTCAAACATTCAAAACTATACATGGTTTTGATGTAGGAAAATCACCATGGTACTGATCATCTCTGGGATTGAAATGTCTGGATTCTGATGATTTGCATGTTGCAATATCTATTGATGATTTGAATTTGTGTGTGGAGTTTTCTCAGCTTCATGTATGTTGCTTTCTGTGCAAAAAGAAAAAAAATCACATTCTTTCTTGATTAATAGTTGACTCCTTAGCAACATCCCTTGTCCTATTACTTACTAGAGACCTGAAAAAGAAGCAAAATTATTGTAATGTTGATTCTTTGCTTGGAGATACTGTGGCAGTCTCAGATTATGCATGCCACAATGGATCAGTTCCACATTTTGACAATTTGGAGAAAAAAGTTTCAATTAAATGGTTTCACTTCAATTCATTACTCATTTAGGAAATTTTTCCTTGATAGAGAAAGAGTATCCATGGGGATCAAACTTTCAAGAGGACCGCATGAACATCTGGCAGGTGCTATTACTGTCACAATTATGATGTTGGATCTCTTATGGTATTCTGTTTATTTATGCTGCAGTCAACAGCAGTTCACTGCCAGGCCTATAAAGGACATAGTGACTTGCACAGTGTGTAAAATACATTTTTTTAAAATAACTATTTCAGAACCAGACTACTTAAATTTCAAAATTGTTTGTTACTCTCACAATTAGATTATCTAGTCATATTAAGTTTGTTCAATCAACTACACAGAACTGTAAAAGTTTCATTTTAAGAATGCATGAAACATTTTCCTTTGTACTGCAGGGAGAATTTCCTGATAAAAACTCACAGGAAGATAGTCACATTGGCGTAGCTCCTGTAGATGCCTTTCCTGCACAGAACAAATTTGGTAAGTTTATACTTGCAGTGAAATAATTACTATTTCTTTTCCATACAGTTAACTGTCTGTGAAAATTGTATAGAAGTGGCTGAAAGCTGTTTTAGATGCAGTTTACATCAATGCACTAACAAAAGTACCAATATTTTTTCTTACCAATTGTCAGAAGTTTTTTTTTTGTTACTTAAATAGTTAATAAGATAATCTTGCATTTTGCTGTTACTGCAACTTTCAAAGATGTAATCAAATTTGCAAACCTTATAATTCAATTAAATGCAAACAAAGTTTCAGTGCATGTGATACAGAGCTGAGCTGGTTAAATTGTGATTGTTCTTTATAACTACCTCACTTTTTCCATAGGAATGTATGATATGCTGGGTAATGCCTGGGAATGGGTGTCTGACAGATTTGAAGATAAAGGACAAGAGATAAAATATGTATTGAGAGGAGGATCATACATAGATACTGCAGATGGTAAACATAATCACAAAGTTACTGTCACTACAAGGTAATTACAATTTGCCTGGTTACCTCCTTTAATCTGCTGAAAATCTTTCAGTGACTTGGTTATGATTTGGGGATGACTTTGCAAAATGATCTTAGTGTAGGGATGAATTTAGAAGTAGTCAGAAGCTATTCAATACTCAAAAAGGATGGAAGAGAAAACAATGATCTGTCCTATTCAAATAAAGGGGTTACATTATTTCTGTGTTATGTAAAACTGCAGAGTAACACAATTCTTTTCATGGCTCCCTGACCCCAAGATGTTATAGCCCACAGTCCCCTCCAAAATACAGCTGTTGTAAGAAAGGTTGTTGGAAAAAGGACAAAAGTGCATGCAACAATCTTAAGAGGCATTATCTGGGTATCCAATAATAATAATTCATCAAACCCTTGATGCCTCAACTTCATAGTGATGTTTTATCAGATTTCCTTGAAATCCTGAGGTCAAGTAACCTTAAACAACCCACAATACCTTTTGGGGCTATTGCATATGCTTTAATGCTGTTTTTCTGACACCTATAAACAGCTATATACATATGAAATGTATACAAAAAACAGGAGCAGATAAAAATAATTCACAAGAAAAATAGATCTCACTTTATATATTATTTATATAAAGTAAACAAAGTGTAAACTACAGTAGAAAGCCAAAGCATACCTTTACAGCTCTGGAAGATCCTTGATTTTCTTGTTGTGTTTCAATTGTACACTATTTGCTTTTTTTGTACATTCCAGGATGGGTAACACAGCAGATGCTGGCTCTGACAACATCATGTTTCGTTGTGCTCGGAGAGCTTCCAAGGATGAACTTTAATGACAAGTTTGGGGATTCAATAGACACAACCATCATGAATAGATATGTTGTTATTAGGTATTATTAAATTATTGATTAAAGAAGAAGTGATTTTTACAAAAAACAGAGATGCAACCTGTTGTATGCCTTTGTCAACCATGCTGAATATGACAAACACACTAATGTCATTAACTATCTCCATTTTGGATTTGTTGGCGTTTACATAATCATTCATGACAGAGTGGGTGTGGTGTGGAATAACAGGAAAAAAAGCAAAGCAAGACTATGACAAGTACTACAGTTGCTCTTTCAGTCACTGTCATCTTCCTTTCTGTGAATTTTGTGGGATTTCAATCAGAAGCAGCACTGGTCACTGTGACCATGACAACTTAATTATTTATGCATTGTTCATGTTGAATTAATGGCTTCTCACAATACAATGACAACAGAAGGTATAGATTATTCAAAAATACCTTGTATTGTTCATCACTGAAAAATAAGAGTAGATTCCACTGAATTTTGAACTGAGTATAAATTGTGCCATTACAGAAATGTACTTGATGTTTTAAAAGAGTAGAACAAAATAAGCACTGTTTTCAATAGAATAAAAACCTTAAAGATGACTTTACATGTTACAAGTGCTCTGAAGTATATGGACAGAGAGATCAAAATCATAACAAATTTCTTAAAAAATTATTTACAATACTATTTTTGTAAGTTATGTTAAGACCTTAATGAGCAGACAGTACAACGGCTGTATTAGTTGAATTTGCAATGATGTCATATATCTAACATTAGAAGAAAATGATACTTAATATAAATGAGTCTCGGAAGGGAAAAAGTCAAAGCAACAATAATCCCTTTCTGAAAGTTATTAAATAAATAATATGGAATTGTGATCTTTTTACACCAAGTCATCTTGCAGATTTTTATTTACAATGTGTCTGAGACTAGTTAGATTGCAATACCACAAAACAAATCACAAATTCACACTTAATGTACTTGGTCACTGGTTCATAAAAAGTGTATTAATTACACAACAGTCTTATTACTATTCTGTTAGTCATCATCATCTGTGTGTATAACTTCTTGGGTCCCAGCCTATAAAGAAGGACAGTTCACCATGAATAACTGAGACATTAACACAACCATAACATTGTTTGGTCAAATAATTTAAATTGTCTGAGATTCACGGTAGAACTTGTTAGATAAAAAAATTCAAACTACTCTTTTATTTCAGCACTTACTGCTAATGCTTCTTCTTGTCTTCTTTGTTCATAAATCTGTGAATTTGAAAATAAATATGATAAAGTGATAAATCTTTGCTAGGGCTAATACTAAAAATTGTACTCCATATTGTGTACATTAGTGTATGTTTAGTGTTGGTTTCTATTAATAGAAAACAGTCATTATAAAGCTAAGATAGAATTTTATTTTCATGTAGCTCCAGTGATATGATGAATAAATAAGGGTGAGAGTTACTAACCTCTTCTGCCTCTTGTCTCTCATCATCTGTGTACTCATCTTTGTCCAGCCTTTCCAGTCTCCGTAGACTGATCAGCACTTCTATGCGATAATCATCCTCATCTGACACCGGGCATTCTACAGGGATACAAATACAATCATGTATATTCTTAACAAATATTATTTGGTGACATATGTCAGATATATATCAACCTTATTATAGGAAATTAATGATGCATGTTAACAAGGTGAAGAAAACCCAAGTTACACAGAATTAATGGGATTTTCAAAAAGTTAGGATTACATGCATCAAATTAATGCAAATTTTTTTTAAAATGATCTGCATGTTACTTTTTTTTACCTGAATTTGCTGTAATACAAACATCTCAAAATGCATATTTAGAGGAAAAAAACAGCAGCATTTCCAGTCATTTTTAGCATTAATAAAGTGCATTGTTAATTTCCTATAATGAGGCATTTCACAGGAAAGAGGAAAATATTAATATTATTGTGTTTGAAGACATAAAAGTAAAATATAGAAAACAGTTTTTATGTTTAAGCAGAGAAATGATCCTTATAGATGCTAAGCAATTGTAGAAAAGGAGCTTAAATAAAGTAAGGCTGCAACAGGAGTTGAACCTGTGCCTTTCATACACTAGTAAGGTGCTACTACTAAACAAGCAATGAAGCTAAATGGTGGGTGCAAGGTAAATTTTAAAGGGTTCTTCTTATGTTGTTAAATCTCCTTTTCAAAAGTATTAAAGGGACGATGCAGTTGAGGTAGCAACGGAAGAAGGAGGCAATATCTCTGCAGCGGCACTTCACTTATCAGTGTCATTATTGAAACTAATGCATTGACTTACATGAAGTTCAGTCACAAAAAGATGGCAGTGGTTATTTGGTAATGAACTAAGAGCAAAATCTTGACCAGTTTAGGATAGTTTAAGAGTTCAAAGTATTGACACACAAATACAGTTCAATTGAATGAAATTCCATTTTTACATTTAAGAAAGATAACAGTTCAGGTCTCAATTAATGTGTATCATTGGTGATGACAATTTTTGGTTTACTTACCCATTAAAAGTAATGCCCTCAACAGTGGTAAACATTTGAGTTTGGCAATTTCCTTCATGTCAGTGACATTATTACCCCTGATGAAGAGAAAAACATCGTATTTTGTTTGATCTTTCCATATACTCTCAACAGTGAAGTTTAGAACAGTTTGTGTCCTCAGTTTAAAAAGGATTCAATTGAAACAATTAATGCTTACATGTAGAAGAAAAACTAGCCCATGCATCAGTGCCAATGCTATATATGAACTTGAAAAATTCTCCAATCTACCTTACTTCCTTCTCTGTCATGTTTTACATCAAAAATCCTAAGTTGTATTTACACCTTTTGGTCACTAGTACTCGTATATATACTGTTGTATTGTGCATACTGCCATAAGAGAAAATATAAAAGTATCCCATACTGTGTCACACATGATCTATTTTCTATGAAAGGACATTTCCTTCTGTATCAATAAAATGGCCTGAAAAGTGAAGAAAATATTTAAGGAAGCTTTGGATTGTTACATGTACCTCAAGTTAAGGTACTGAAGGTTTTTCATGTTTTCTGAAAAACCATCCAACTTCTCAATCTGGTTGTCACGCAGATGTAAACTTGCAAGATGTTCCAACCTGTCCAGCCCCTCAAGAGTTCTTATGGTGTTTGCAGCCTAAGAATAATGAAGCTTAGTCAATGATGACATCATTGATTTACAACCCCTAAAATAATAATGATATATAAAACAACAAATAATAATTAAAAATAATGATACTAATAATAATAAGTTTAACAATAATAATAACAATAATAAAATTTATTAAAAATGGAGAAGAAAATTACCATGGGATGGATGAAATCTAAATGCCTGTTAAAGACACCAGGCAATACTATATTTTGAGTGACTTTGACATGGTTAACTAAAATAACTTGAAGTTAAAAATAGTTAGTTCACTAAGGAAGAAAAGATAAGGGGAAATAATAGGCTTAGAATGAATGAGGATGGCTGGGGATCAAGACTGTTAACACAATTAAATTGCAAATGAGAGATTTAACAAATTTAGAATGTATTTTCAAGATGTAGGATCTAACTTCATGATACATAAACAGTAATGAAAGTACTGCTTCTTTCATTCTAGTAAGCATGACAACACAGCTTTATTAAAGTCATCATTTAACAAAAAATACAAGCAGTATGTAAAATCTTACCAAGTATAACTCCTTTAGGTTAGGAAGACTAGAAAGTCCCACAGTGGTCATGAGTTTATTTCCTCGTAGTTCCATTACCCTTAGTCTGTCCAACTTGACTGGATCAAAGCCTGTTACTTCTACTATCTCATTGACTGGTTCAGATTCAAAAGAATATGACAGTTAATGAGTCCAACTAAATTCCAATTGCCTAAAATTTAAAATGTTCCGATCCTCTCACTTAAAAATGCTATTCTGACTGTAAAATGGTTTATTTCTGGATCATTTGAAGTTCAAAGAAAAGTTTTCATGAAGAAAACTTGATAAATAGGGAAGCAAAAGTCACCTTAACCCTTTGCACCCAAACATCAGTATGCATAGTCTCCTTATCCATGACTAATCATTTCCTGAAGTGCTGTCAAGGAGAATTTACTTAACAATCAAGAACTTCCTTAGTTGGTGAACATTTTCTTTCTTGTGACTTAATTTCTAAATTCAGGGGTGATTATATTGGAAGAAATTAGTTGTTAGTCATTCTTTGGGGCTGCAGAGGGTTAAGGCAGAGATATATGTATGTTTACAAGCATGTTTGAATTATCAATTCCCAGGTATAAATTTCATTTTCAAACAATATATGTGAAGCACAAGGCTGTTTAATCAAATGATAATGAAATATAGGATTTTAGAATTATACGCTGAATAACACAATGTTATGCTGAATGAATTTACTGAACAACGAACAGTAGCAGATTTGCTTGATTTGAGTTGTTGATGAATCAGGAAGGAAGGAAAATGTCACTTACACAAGGCATGCAAACACGTGTATTATTAAGTGAGTAACAAAGCGAATACTTACTAATATGCTTCCCAATTTATTCATTAACAACATTTGTTTTTTCATCATGAAAAACAAATAGATTCAGAAAAAGGGTTTAACCGGTGAAAAGGCCCTTTGTTCCACGTCTTCCATTACCATGTTAGCAATGACAGCAGAAACAGGCAAGATACTGTTCAGATCACAGATGATGTCAAAATGTGTTAAGAACAACAAAGTGCCACTCTAGATGTAGCGACTGTGAAACTGATGTTCTTACCACATTTTGTTGAATAGACAACTGGAATAATGACTTACATCTGCACTCATTAATTTATGGTCAGAATGGGTGTTGTATATTGTTTGTGTACCAAAATTCTCCCAAGATTGTACAAATACTTACATGATAAGTTTAATTGTTCTAACAAGGGATGATTGATACCCTCTGTATCCATAATTTTATTGTTGGCAAAACTTGCAATTTGTAGATATGGTAACTGTCAAAAGATAAACACAATAATTATACAGTTTACACATATCAAATGCTTTTGAGTCATCTAAATGGAAACCCACAAATTGTGACATTTTCCATTTACTATCTTCATTATGTTACAAGGAAGTCATTGAAGTCTCTATTTTTGGTGATTTACTAATAGAAACTGAACAATGTAAATTACATAGCGAAGAAACCAAAGCAAAAGACGTATGAACAGAAATGAATGCAAGTAAATAATAACCAATCAGAATCATTGACATAACTGCATAAATCATCATAATTCTAACACAGTACCAACCTCATCAAGTTTGGCTGAGTGCAAGGCATTCCTGTCTGCCTTCAGTGTAAGTAGGTGAGTTAATGAGTTAAGTGAAGAAATATCCATCAACTGATTTCCACTGACATCCTGTAAAAGATTCAGCAAAGACATTCCTTTCAATGCAAGCTCTAAGCCTTACAGTTTTCTCCAAAAACTGCTGGTACAAAATTTCAAATAATGAAAAAGCTTATGAGAATAACTACTGCTTACCACATATCTCAAATGAATAAAGCAGTTGAGTATACTAATATCTGTCAGCTCCCTGTTGGAAAGTAAACATTAGGTCCAATGTATCAACTATAATTTTTTAATGGTAAACTGTTTAATTGTTTGTCTCACAATGTAGTCACTTGAGATGAAGGTCCCAGTGTTTCAACTGCTTACTGCTAGTCTTCATCAGGGGATGATGAAGACTAGCCTTTCTACGTACAAATGGAGGGTGCAGCCATGGGGAGCACAGTTTCTGCAGTTATGGAGGTATTTGAAGAACAAGCAATAGAATCCACAACTCAGAAACCCAAGACCTGGAGGCACTACGTTGATAACACCTTCACCATCCAAGATTGCAATTATATCAACTGTTTCTTACAGCATCTCAATAGTTATCAACCTAACATCCAATTCACCTTGGAAATTGGGAAAGGCAACAAGATTGCCTTTCTTGACATGCCAGTTATGACGGAACCAGACAGATGCCTGAACACCAGTGTCTATACAGAAAACCAACTCACACTGATCAGTACTTACCAGTAGCGTATGATTCATACTACCCTCAATCAGTAAAGCCTGGTATTGTCACATGTTCATATGACCAGGCAAAAGTGTCTCATGACAAAACCATCAATCATCTCAGAGGAAAAGAGACATTTGTCATCTGTTCTTTTTTGTAAGGGTTATCCTTCCTCCTTTGTACAGAAGGTTACAAAAACAAGAAATTCGCCAATTGCATTAGATTGCCATGATACAAATAGTAACAGGTGGCAGTCAACACCATCCCCTAACAAAGACTAGTAGTAAGCAGTCTAATTGTTGTAATCTACATCTCAAGTGACCACATGGTGAGACAAACAATTAGACGGTTTATTATTCCTTACCACCATGATGAGCAATAACCTCTTTTACAATATATATTTTTGCAAATACGAAAGGAAGTACCTTACATAAGATTGTCAAATGTCAAATGCACTATCCTTTTGACAATGCTGAATTTCCCTGAAGTATACAGAACACTTGTAATGTATGAACCTGCTAAGTATAGGACTAAGCTCATCATTGTGTTCACTGTAGCCTGGCAATTAAAGCATCAGCCAGCTGAGAAATGTGGAGGTCAATTGAATTCCTTGCATGGTATTTTTTCTTTGCTCCACACCTTTGACAAAACAATTAAACTCTTCCCTAATATTTTGATGTTTGAATTTTGTTGGCCACTGAGGATTCTATAAATTATTTTCAATTGGTAAGTCAGAGGAATCAATTAAAAAACCCCATACTTAGCTTTGGTGATGGTTCTCTTTAATTTATAAATCTGAGCGGACATTTCTCATAGACAACAGAGTTATTTCTCTTAGGGGACCGGTCTAGCCTGCCAGTTAAAATAAACTTGAAAGCAATTATAGTTCAAAACACCTCAACTTTCAGAGGCGAATGAACATATAATTTCTCCTTGCAATGATGATACAATAGTACGGGTTTTGTCATGTAAAAATAAATTCTCTTTGCTAGTTTAAAAGGAATGCATCGTAACTGGGAGGGAGAATTGTTGATCAGATCTCGGTGATAGGACTATACCTCCAATAGGACTTACTTTTCGTGGACGTCAAGTCTTACATAGGCATGTGCCAATCCGTCTCCAGTTTTGCACATCAAAGAAAGGCTGTCGGCTAACATTTCCTCAGTGAGGGGATTCTCTGGAGGTTTCTGAAGTCACAAGAAAAGCCGATCAAGAGCGCGCCAAAATGTAAGAGGGTTTGAAAATACTTTCCAGTTCGACCGGTGTAAAGTTGTCTTGACCCACTGACATTTTGGCAAACAGAGCAAACAAAGGAAATAGGAGGAAATGTTTTGCGACATAATTACCTCCTCCTCTTCGGTTCCTTCCTCCTCGTTTTCGTCATCTAATACTGGTTCATCGACTCCCTCCTCGTCTTCGAAATCCGACATTTTGCTCACTAGCTTTTGACTTTACTATGTTACTTAGCAACGAGAATGATACCTTAGCTTATCTTGAGCAGCCTCAACTTAATGTTTAAGCTCCGTCAAGAGTCTGGGTACTAGCTGAGTAAAAATGGCGGACAAACATAATTTCCCGCGAACAGCCTCCCCAATCCTTAATATTTCTTCAGCTTGAAGTCAAACAGTAGTTTTTAATTTTAGTTTCTTCGATTTTTCTACACTATGACCGCATTGAATTTGGGAAGAAGTGCTTCAAAAAGGAAGAAAGATGCCAAAAAAGAGTTTAAAGTCGATTGGAGCGGCCACGTAAGTTCCCATTTTTCTTTTCTTAATGAGTGAATTTGTATGGCCTAGAGTTACCGTGTTGGAGCACCATTCAATTGAGTGAAGTAACATGTCGAAGCTTTTTTTTGCGTCTTGTCACGAACTTGACGAAGAAAATATTCCGACTCCCCAACTAAGGAATCCGAAGATGTGAGGTGCGATTCCTCATGGGGATCGATTCAAAATATATCTGTTAGGGTTAGATGGGAGAAGGGTAAATTCAACCCTAGGATTGTTTTTTTAAGCTGCTTGGGTTGACTTAGTAACGAATGTTTTTCTATGTAAATGAAATTGTTTTAGAGGGTTGAGGTTCATTTTCAACGTATTGCTAATGTTGAAAACATGTAGGGTGAGTATATGCAAGTAAAGGTACAGAAACTAGATGTTCAGTTCAAAGAGGATGTTGGTCCAAAAGGACGCCAAGATGTGTAAGTTATCATTTATTTATTTAATTTTTTTGTTTTCTTTTTGTCTTCACCTTGTTACAAAATATTAAATCGTATTTTGATATAATTTTGCTGTCTACTTGACAAAATATCTGTAATGCATAAACCAAACTAAAGAATTTTTGGTAGTAGAGACGTTATGTGCAAACAATGAAATGAAAGTTCACTTCTTTAAGCTCTTTAATTATTTCAAATAGATTAAAATTTAATTAATCATGGATAAACAATAAAGGATATTTTTCATGCTAACAAAAATAAGCCTCTCAAATTTCCCAAACCTCCAATTATACAGCTGAGGCTGTGTAACTTTACTTTATTGCTTCTGCAAAGGTGAACTTGACCGTGAACCATTCATTTATGTTATCCTTGGCTCACAGCTCCAATAGGAAAAAAATTTTCATTAACTAGTAATCAAGACAAATTTGTCATGTTTGGATTATTGAAATGTTTATTGTTCAAAGATCAAGATTGCGCTTCCCATTACAGCAATGATGCATGGCTACAATAGCCTTACTGTCATTACAGCTACATGCAGAGCCTGGTTGTTCAAAGGTCGGATAACACTATTGACTGTTTAAGTCTCTATCTGGTGGATAATGCCATATGTTTTGCTATCACTTATCCGCTGGATGGCAATTTATCTGTTAGATAGCGTTATCTGCCCTTTATACAACTGGGTCCAGGTCTATAAATTTCCACAGTTATAGATGTAATTTCAACCATGGATTGCTTTGACTGCTACCACTGACAGAATATTTTAATCTAAGAATTATATTGATTAACGCATTGTAATAATATCTCCTTTGTAGCAATGTACCTAAGATCTTTGAGAAAGTAGTTATTCACATCAATGGATACACAGGTGATTCTAATGTTTACAAACAGAGTAACTGATTAATTTTTTTTTGGAATAATAGTTTTTTGCTACATCAATCATTAAGGGCCAATTATATTTATGATTTTCTTTTAATACGCATCAAAGCCATTGTCCACACAATGTCCATGTCCATACATTGTCCATTGTCCGTACATTGCAAAAGGTCTAACAGAAAATTGCTCATAGACATTGGATAGATGCTAATTTTCCTTCTGTAATACCTTGACACCAACTGAAGCTGTGATCAAAATTTAGAGTCTATCACTTTCGATATTTTTATAGAGCCATCAGCAGATGAATTGCGACGCCTGGTGTACTCATATGGTGGAAGTTGTCAACAATACTACACAAAGCGTTCAGTGACACATATCATTGCAACAAACCTACCAAACAGCAAAATCCAAGAGATAAGGTAAATTTTACATTGTTAATGATTTGAAATACAAAGATAGGTAAAACCTACTTAAAGTTACTGTAGTTTTTGTGCTATCATAACATCTTTCTCAAGGTAACCTGGCCTGATCATTATATTGTTGTAATGTTAAAGTGTTGAACTACATCCATTTATTTTCTTTTTGTCAAAAGTATTTTGAGTTTTCTTTGGTAAAACCCCTAAAAAACCATAGATTTATAACAGTTGATGTCTAAGCTAGTTAGGATTACTGATTTGAAGTGGGTCAATTATTTCTGGCTGGGTGAGACAGCTATTTTTGGAATTATTCACAACACAACAAAATTAATAATATTGACAACAGTGTCTAACTACTAATTAAATAAATATGAACATTTTTGAAATTGGTGAATCATGCCATGAAGATCAAATATTCTATCAAATCCTTTGAAACTTAACAAAAGAAATCAATCAAAACTGTCACTGTTTTGTAGAGATGAACTAGTAGTGCATCCATCTTGGATTTTGGACAGCATAAAAGCAGTCAGATTGCTTCCTGTTAATGACTATCTTCTTTATCAACCACGCCAAGCTGCACAGAAGGTTTTGAATTTTACTTCCAAACTATCATCAACTGTGACATCTTCCACACTCTCTTCTGCTGAGGGAAGGGGACACACAACAGTTACATCAAGGGAGGGTAGATCAATGGCAGAAAAGTCATCTTCATGTACCTCTGTACCACAATACACAAGGACACCTGAGGAAGTAGAATTGCAACACCAAGATATTTGTAATGATAAAGATAACAGAACTGGTATTACTGGTAATGACTCAATTAATAGGAGGACAGATATGTCAACCGAGACTTATGAAGTCAAAATCAGTAGTGAAATCAATAGTAAAGAAGAAGAAAGATTCAAGAGGAATTATGGTGGAGACAAAGGTGATGTTTCTTTGCAAGACACTGTAGAGACAACAACCTCTAAAAATAACACTGAAGATTCCATATTGTTCAAGAAACCGATCAGCTTACCCAGAGCTGGTGATGCAAACTTTGTATCAGAATTCTACAATAATTCCAGACTGCATTACCTTTCAACATGGGGAGCAGAATTCAAGAAATACACAAGTGATCTTATCAAGTCTGGTGCAGCCAAGGGGTGGAAGTGTAGAGGGAGTGGCCGGGTAGGGCCACATGGCCGTGTTATTATGCATATTGATATGGATTCATTCTTTGTTTCTGTAACATTGAGAGACCAGCCTCATCTCCGAGGCAAACCCATTGCTGTGTGTCATGCTGGGAAGAGCACTTCGTCAGCTGAACAAGGTGGGCAAGGACATTAATGGCTTCTTATTTGCAGGCAAAAATGTTGCAATGAAGTTTTTGAATAGAGCAATCTTCAATTGAAAGTAATCCTGGATTGCTTTGGTTTTGCTTTACTTTGCTCTTTGATTGGTCCGAAAACCTGTGACACCATTTCAACCAATCAAGTGCAAAACTTAAACCAATTGCAACTTAGCCACTCACGTTTTCATGCGCTTCCAGCCGGTAGCCTGTCTTTACCTTGATGATGTTAACCTTTGCTCTGATTGGTCGTTGTGATTACTGTGGTTTTGGTTTTTTTGACACCCAACTGAAAACTGCTCTATCCTGAATTGAACTTATACCCCATTCACACTTATTTTAAACCTGTTTCGTTAAACAAAGTTTAATTTTTTTCTTCAATGAAGCTGCTTAAACCATTGTTTTTCAACTTCAGATGTAGCCTATTGAAAATACACGTCAGAAATTACTTGAATCCTATGGAGAAATTCAGGTTATCAGTTCTCTGTTTCTGATTTTCATTCAGTTAAACACGGTTTAACTAAACATAATTTGCTGGTGTGAACAGAGTATTAGTTACAAGTGTGACATCTTTTGAATGCGCAAGAATTACCAAAGAAAAGAGAAAAATATTGATCTCAGCAGATTATCCAAGCATTGGAAAAAATTTGAAAAATTCGCTGATGAGCTGACGCACGCTCAGGGAGATTTGTTGAAAGAGAAAGTTTCCTAAGAGAGAATTTACAGTGTACTTACAGTTTTGCATGAGACAACTAAACGCTTATATTTGTTTTGGTAATTTAGCATCCGCTGGTAACCCACAAATTTCACCAATGAAACCAGCATCATTCTTCAACTCCATGTCAGAGATCGCTTCCTGTAGCTACGAGGCAAGGGCCGTTGGAGTACGTAATGGCATGTTCCTAGGCCCTGCTCGTAAACTCTGCCCTGATATCCACTGTGTTCCATACCAGTTTAATGAATATCGCAAAGTGTCCCAAAGGCTTTATGATATTTTGGTAACCTATAGTCATGAAATAGAGGCTGTGAGCTGTGATGAGGCTTACATTGACGTGTCAGAGACCATGGAAGGTAATTTGTTTGTACGTCTTGTATATTTGGTCAAGTTTTGATTTTGAAACTCTAGAAACAGATTTTTTAAATATATCGAAGGTGAACTGTGCCACCTTTCACCTTTTTGTAAAGATAAAATTGAACGTACTACTTGTTTGTTTGCGGCACATCAACAGAGAAAAGTGCCATTTACTGGATAGATCAAATTAGTTGGAATACATTAGTTTGTAGGACAGATTAAAACCAAAGAGCCTGATGCTAATTGTGCCAACGATTCGCAATTACGTATACGTAGGAGTTCCGAATTGGCCATATAGTTTGATTGAATCACAATTCCCATTTATAATAAAATTTTAAGGTTTTCTCGACACCTTTTGAAAATACTCTTGAGTAACAAATTGTACTCCTGCTTCGCGGTCGTTCGATTTTGTTTGTTGATTACAAACCGAATTGGACTCCACTCAGTCCTATTACCATTATTTATAACTATTACTATTAACTATCAGCGGATGAAACACCAACACAGCTCGCAGAGAAGATTCGCGGGGAGATCAAGGAAGCCACCGGCTGTACAGCATCTGTTGGTGTCTC